CTGTTTGATTCAGGTGAACAGAGCAGATGTTATCCTCTTTCTGGTGGAGAAAAACCCACGGTTAACAGCAATTTAGTAGCAAAATTGGGATTAGAACCTTTGTCTTCTGACCCTAATTTAGTGTTGTTTCCACTATACCACTTCAACAGTAGCTTGAATGGTTTTGGTCTAAATGGAATACATTTGAAAACATAAATAGAACATAATATTTGGTTATATAAGATCCCAGCTGCTGGGTCTGGTTTAGCAGAAGCTTGAAGAACAGCAGACGAAGGTGGGAGGTAACCAAGTGTGTAAGCTGAGTGCTGCATTTTGAGATGTTCAACAAAAGCAGCAGAGGGTGTTCGGGACACTGACTGGGGCAACCCCGATTCTTCAACCGTTAGTCTGTCGTGGCTTCGCACTATTCCTTATCAACCCCAATGACAAAATCTAACCTTTTCAGCATCGTGCCCCTGCATTCCTAACATGTTCCTCCAACTTTTCTCCCGGTTTCCTGCTTCCTTGTCTATGTCATACACACTTGGTGAAACTCCCTCCCTCCTGACGTCTGACTCATTTTCACATCCCAACTTCTCCTGAGCCATTCCACCTCTGTCTGCCCCTCTACTTAACCCTTTCGTTTTTGCTGCAAGAAATCCCCATTCATTGGAAGCAATCTCTGCTACGTAAATAAAATAATGTGGCAAAACACTCTGCAAATAGTAACTGAGAAATGTTTATTATTCTCATCTTCTGCATTTTCTTAGTGCTGCTTTTTACTTCCCAGCCTTACCCGAAACTGGGAATTCTTTGCTCTGATGATGTTATTTCCCTCCAAACTTTCTCCAACTTGTTGGTAAAACAGTCTTGACCTGGATGTGTGTGTGTGGTGGATTGTGGGATGGAGGAACGTTGTCTAGTGGGGAAACGTTCTTCCCACTTCCCAGCTCACAGGAGTTAGCAAGCTCTCTGCTCTTCAGACATTTATAGACAGTAAGGAAAGTGTCAGAAGCAAGGAAAAGATTAAGGATGAAAGCAAGAGAGAGAAAAAATTATGAAGAGATTTTAGAGGAGAGAGGAAGAGAATGATGTGAGATCATGAGCAGAGGTATTGACCTTAGTGGGGAAAAAGGGATTTTGCTTTGTCTGGGCATGATGGAAGGACTGGAGAAATTCTGAGGTAGAGAAGAATTTTGCGGGGATAGCTTCCAGCTTCTCAGTAAAGCAAGAATGAAGGTTATTTGCTGAAGTGGGTGGGCTTGGGTTGGGTGTTTGAGAAGAGTAGAAACAATTTGAAGTAGTACTTTCAGTACACGTGGTCAGGGAGCCAATGAATAAGGCTGTGGAACAGCAATGGGAATTACCTACGCCACCTCTCCCACCCCCAAAGAACAAAAGAGCTACTCATAGTTTATTTCTCTTCTCTCAACTCAGCAAGTAGCAAGGCTAGGAAGAAATGATAAAAGGAAAGGACAATTCCCTGGGAGGGGGGCACTGTCCCACCCTCACTGACTGCCCTGCCTCGGGCCCTCCGCAGAGAGTACTGCAACTGCCTCCCACCAGGAGGCCAAACTTCCAGGCTTTCTCTCTTCCAACGCGCGACCTTCATTGCACACTATCGTATTGATGTTTAATTCATTGTCTCACCCATTACGCTGTGAGCAACTTGAAGGCAATTTCCAAGTCTTCTCTGAGCTCCTGGGGTCTAGCACAGATCTAGCATGTAGTAGGCACTCAATAATTGCTCTTTGGATGAAAGCTGTTAGAATGATATTTCCAAAACATAAATCTGACCCTGATGCTTGCCTTAAAAAAAAAAAAAAAGAATCTTAAATGATCCTTAGCATGGTATTCCAGTGCCTCCTTCTGTGCTTCCATAGCTCCATCTCCTGCCACCTCCTCCCATTTCCCACCTAGAACCCTGTCTTGAATTGGGCATACTAACTAGTACTGGAAGTCCCTTAGCAAGCCATGCTCTCTGACCTCTGTACCTTTGCACATGCTTTCTCTCTATCTGAAATGCCCTACCTGTCCTTGTCCACCTAGCAAGGTCCTGCTCAGTGATACCAGGGTGGGTCTCCAACATCCTCCTACAGGTTACCAGGATGGAGCCACAGACAAAGCTGGTGGCCCAACCTCCTTTGATCTTTCTTTTCCCTCCTCAGAGAAGTAGTTGAAGCTAGCCTATGCGTTTACTCTGTTTTGTCCAGATGTCTCCTGGGTGCAAATGAGTCTGCCTGGGGTTTAAGTGTCAGAGTGGACTTTTCTAACCAGTCACGATGCTAAGCATAGACGTTTCCTCTCCTGAAACGCAACTGGAGACTCTATCCATCCCAACACCCTCCAGGAAACAGAAAAGCAAACAACCCTCCTCCAAGTGAACCAGAAGACCAACAACGGAAACAAATGCACCTTCAGTGGCCTATGGGATGGTGCATACTGCAAAGCTCACGGGGGCTAAGCAGGTCACGTAAATGAGTAGAGGAGCACAGTGGGCTGTGGGGACCAGAGCAAACTGGAGAGCTCCGCCTCATCTCCAGGCCATTTGTCTTTTCTCTTTCTATCCAGTCATAGCTTTAACTTTGTAGGATTCACTCACTTGGGACTTCTCAGAGAGAGTCTTACCTCAAAGGTTCCTTTTTTCTCTGACCTCTAAAGGGAAGGGAGACATTTTGAGCAGAGGAAATAACTTGAGAAAAGGCACAAAGGATAGAAAAACTATCTGAGGAATTCTTTTGCCCTAATCATCTTTGTCTCAGTGACGTACTTAGGCCTGACATGTGATCAGGCCACTACTAGATGAAGGGGGCAGTAGAGCACAGTGCTTAATCACGTGGACATTGCCCAGAGAGACCTAGGGTAAGTCTTAGCTCCATAATGCATTAGCCTTGTGACCCTGGGCAAGTCATTCAACCTCACTATGTTACAGTGCTTTATCTGTAAAATGGGGATAATAATGGAAGCTATTTTAAGTTTGCTGTGAAAACAAAATGAGCTAATAATGTGTGCAAAGCACTTCAAACCATGCCGAGCCTATAGTAAACGCTCAATGTTAGCCATTATTATTGTTATTATTATAATCTAATAATTAAATTTTAGGTGTTGCTGGCTGATAATAGCCTAATGTTTTTTGCCTCATAGGTAATAATATTCTTATTTTCACAGGAGCCTTTAGTGTCATAAGCAAGGGAACGAGGAGGGAGTCATTCCCATCATGAGGGGGTCAGTGGGAGGGAGATTTGGGGAAGTCTTTTGTTACACCCCTCAAAACAAACGCTGTGGGTTTATTTTCATGGAGCCTGATACTGTACTTTTGTATCTGCAGCCTGAATGCTTTCTCTAGAGCTGGAAAAGGAAAAGTAAAGGCTTCTTCCAAGTGCTCCTTGTGATCTGGGCAAGTCCAACTGCAGTCAAAGTAGGGAGCAAGTACCCCATCCAGCTCACGCTCCGTCCTCCTTCTAGACCCAGACTCTGTTTTGTTTGGCGTGCTGGTGAGCTGGTGCCCATGGTGAGCTGTGAGTCAGGTTCCCATGTGTTCGGTGTGTGTCTGTCGCAGTCATGCTGTGTCTGTGCCAGCCCAAACAATTTCTCAGAGTGTTCCCTCTGGTCTTTCTTCTAGTCAACTGCCCCCTCCAAGTCATTCCAAGTCAGTTGTAAAGGACTCCTGGGGCCCTGGGTCTGAGTGGTGTTGAGAAAGCCTGTGAGCTGCCAGAGCGAAGACTGGGGCCGGGACTCAGGGCCAGGGCTGGGCTAGGCTGGGTAGCTAAGAAATGCTCTCTTGAGAGTGTGTAGTTTGAGAAGCCGGATGTCCTTTCCAAAGCCCCTTTAGAAATCAAAGGCCCTTTCTGCTCCTGCATGGGGGCCTGGCTGCTGCCACTTTGGCCAGGCAGGAGGGGCCGCTCACGCAGCTCTGAAAGCCTGGCTTGGGGGAGGGGGCAGTCTATCCCATTTTGTTTGCTTGTTTTAAAGAGGAGTCAGGCCTTATTGCTAACCTTTTACTGAAACCAGGAGCTTAAGTTTTGAAAATTTCATCTCAGAAGAAAACACACACACACACACTACTTCCTGGCTGAAGGTTTTCTGTAATAATAATAATAATAATGGTAATAATAACAATAATAATAATTCTCAGTTCTTATAGGGTACTTTGTAAACACTAGTCCTATGTCCTTTGGGCCAGGAAGTGTCTTCTGTTCTAAATCCCAGTGCATCAGAACTTAGAGAGTTTTTAGAGACAAGTCATCGAAGTTAAGCAAGTCACCCCCAAACCAATCTGTTTCTCTCTCATCATACACACCCTGTTCTCAGAAATGGAGGGAGGAAAGAAGACTGTTTCTCTTATCCTTTGCCTCGGCCTGGAGCTGCTGGGGCTTTAAGTATGAGTATTTTGGTGTAGGAGGATGGGGATGAGGGCTTTCTCACTGCTATTCACCCATCCATCCATCCATCCATCCATCCATTTAACATATTCATTCAACAAATATTTATTAAGTAACTTCCTGTGTGCTGGGCACTCTGTAAAGTGGTATAATCCTCTCCATCCCTTTAGCGGGTTCTCCCAGTGTATTTGGAGCTCATACCCAGGGCGTTAAACACTTTAACAGGGGTGATAGTTAAAAGAGTAAGGGCTGGTATGGACAGGAGGCGGGAGAGTGACTGGGGTAGTTGGTGAGGGGAGGCACGGAGGAGCTGTATCTTCCCGTCATTCCAGGTCCATTTTGTTTCCTCTATTGCAGAGGCTTTTTCTACATGTAGACCTAAGAGGGGGTGAGGACAGAACTTAGGGGTGACAGGCAGACTGCCCTGAGCCCAAGACTGTACCTTGGGTACTAGTGATGATTCTAGAGCAGAGCGTTTCAACCTCCAACACAGAAACTGAATCCTGGACTGGCTACCGAGGGGCCCTGCCAGCTGCTGGCTCTGAAGTTGCCTTTGGCTCTGGGCTAGATCTGTGGAAGTTGGGGCCCAGACTCCTCACTCAGCAGCTTGTATTGATCTCCCAGCCTCTTTTGTCTCCTCCTCCCCAGTGGAAGCCTCTCCCCCTCTCCCCCTCTGCTTCTCAGCCTCTTCCGCTCTCCTCCTCTGCTTCTAATGAATTGAAATCTCCGAGAGCCGCCAAGGCTCTGGTAGTTTTACAAAACTGTCCTTGCTCTTTCTGCATTTGTCCAGTCAAGGGTATCTTTGCCTGCGGTCAGAGTGATGCTGTTAGTCCGGGTGATATGATGGCATAGCAACACAGAGCCGCCTGAGAGAGGGGAGGAGGAGGAGAAGGCGAAGGAGGGCAGGGAGGTGGGAGAGACGGAGGGAGAGTGTGCATACAGCAGCTGTCGGCATCCCTGTCTCAGGGACTTCTTTGCTGATTCACAGAGGCAGCCCAGCCCCGGCCTCCCAGCTTCCAGTTGCCGCCTGCTCCTCAGACCTGACGGAATCTGAAGGTAGGCAACAGAGAAATGATTTCCAAGCCTCGCCCTTTTTCGGCTGGCTGAGGGGAAATGACTGAGGGTACTCTGTGTGTGTGTGTGTGTCTGCCTGCCTACTGCCTGCATGTGCCTTTAGGGGAAAACTTGCGTTACAAAATGCCCACAATGAAGTAGCCACCGCTCGTATTCATAGAGGGGGGAAAAAAAGATGCCCAGGAATAGAAACTCAAGCCAATTTGAGCAACTGATGAATAAGAGGAAGGCCCATAGTTTGCTTCTTTGAGAGGAGAGGGGTGTTATTTATTTGTTTGTTTATTTATGTTTGTCCTCAATGACATGCTTTTTGTCCATGGGTGGATTTCCTGGTGGGAGGGGAGGGAAGGGGTGTGGACAGCATTGGCTGAAAAGGGAGGAGAGACAAAACGTGGGACCTCAGAGCAGGTTCCCTGAACAAATGAGTGTCTGGCCAGCAGACAGGACACAGGAGCGCTTCCCTGGAGTAAATGGGGCTCTGACCTAGGAGCCTGGCACCGAAGGCGCATCCTGGCTCCATCTGTCTTTCCCGTTCCGTTTTTCCCCTTGCTTCTTCCCTTGGTTTCTTTTCTACCCCCTGTAATCAGTAGGCACCTCTCCACTCCTGAGAACATAGCTTGGAGTGCTTTGAAATGGGGCTTCCCTCTCCTAGAGTCAAACACCCCATTCCTTCTGCTCTCCTTACCTTTCCCCAGCATCAGGCCCAGTGCCCCAGCCTGACAAGTGGGTCTGAGACTGTGTGGGTAGTCGGGCTTATCCTGCCTTTGGTAGGCAGGTAGAGCCAGGCCCCACGGTGTTGGGTCCAAGCAGGTAGCTGGGCTGGGGTGGAGTGGAGAAGGAGGGATGGCAGCGGGAGTAACTGCCTGCTTCCATTGAGAGCATGGTGCATGCTGTCTGGAAAAGAGCATACTTTTGTCCTGTGTTTTCTTTCTGATTGCTCAAAAGAACAAAGCCTATAAAATGCTCTATGTCTAGTTCACCTCAGCTCCTGACTTTTCCAAAGGAGTGCTTGTTTCTAGATTAAAGGCCCTCAGGTAAATCACCTCTTCAAAGGTCCTGTGGAGCCACAAACCTCAGGAGAATGTCCTTCTGGAATTTGGATGGGGAGGTGATTCCAGAGACCTTCAGGGGCCTTCTAAGGAACCCCCCTGAAAAGGCAGTGCTGCAGGTGGAAGTGATAAGTGTCCTGTCCCTGAGAGAAGATGTGAGCCCCTCTTTTCCTGGGTTGGCCACCACCTGCCCTGCCGTCTTGCTAGCCCTGAACTATTGCTGGGGGCTGAAGGCACATGGAAAGGGCTCCTCTTCCTATGAGGATTATTCCCCCAGGCATTCTTCCCTTGCTAAGGAGCTCTGAGCTCCGGGCCAGAGGCCCCTTCAGCTCTGCAGTCACCCAAAGGAGGACAATGTGGCTTGGAGCAGCAAATTTAGCAAAGGCCCAAGAGCCAGATGCAGAGAGCGCATCTGGGATGCAGGACTTCTAACCACAGATACTCAGAACTTTCTGACATTCAATCTGCCATAATGCCAGATAGGATGGGCTCTCACTAATGAAGCTCAAGAAGATATCCTTCTAAACTTGCTGGAAGTTTAGGAACCCCACTCTGTGGACATTATACCATGAAACTACATTCCTTCCTTACAAAGGATTCTAGACACGCATCAGCAACTGAAATCACCAGTGAGATAAATCCTTCCAGGACAGCACTTACCGAACTGAACCACAGAACGTTGCTCTGAGAGACTGGTAATAGATTCTGCTTTAAAATAAGGAGTGGTGGTAGTGCTGGTGGGTGACATGCTACCGTCCAAGAATTTTTTGAAAATGCTTCATCATTGAATTCTCTTCTTGGAGAGTCACAATGTATAGACATATATTAAAGGCTCTGAGAAGTACTCCTGGAAAGAAATCTGTTTAATTTTGTTTGACCCAGAATATCCCAAACTGATTTGACCAGGGAACACTTTTCTGCATGGAAAACACTTTAGCATCTTGCAGGCACAGTTTTGGGAATTGCTGCTCAAAAAAAAGCTAGAAGAGATTGTTGCATGGAAAAAAATTTGTAAGATATAGTCTGCTCCAATGCCACATTTTTAAATGTGAGAAAGTTGAGAGGTTAGTCAGATTGTTCTCCTTCCCACAGCCAATGAATATCTGAGAGAGGGAAGCCCTTATCTCCTGCCTCGGTCCACCGTGCCCAGCTGCTGCTCTCTAGCAGGTTCCCTCCTCGGAAACTAGTCCCAGGAAATTGAAGCTGGTTTAAGGAATAAGCCGGCATTTTGAGTGCAGAATTTATATCTTATGCATTTTTTTCAGTATTTTGTTATACCCCCAAATTATGAATTTTCCTTTCAGCATGGGATTTCTTGCGTTCTTTTAAACAATGTGTTATGAAAATTTTTATACATTCAAAGAGGTGTAAAGAATAATATAATGAAAATCAGGATACCCACCACCCAGGTTAAGAAAAAACATCACCAGTAGAGTTGAAACCCTCTGTCTGTCCTTCTGTGATTAAACTCCCTCTTTCCCTTCCTCCCTCTGAAGGAACCACTCTTCTCGATTTGGTGTTTATTATTCTCATGCATTTATTTATACTTTTGCTACACGTGTATGTGTCTTTAAACAGCGTATACCACTGCTTTATGTGTTTTAAAATTTTCTGTTAATGATATGTATTCTTCTCCAATTTGTTTTTTCTATTCTATGTTATATTTGTGAAATTCATCCATGTTGTGACATGTGCCTCTAGTTCATTCATTTTTTCACTATTGTATAGCATTCCCTTTAATGAATATGCCATGATTTATTATCCATTCTGCTGCATATAGACATTTAAACTGTTTCCAGTTTTTGGCTCACAGTTGGGGCTACTATGATCATTCTTGTGTAGATGTTCTTCTGTGACTGTTGCTGTCGCATATATCCCTAGGACAGAAATGTCCCACCACAGGGTACGAGAATCTTCACCTTTGGGAGACATTGTTAAATTGCTCTCCAAAATGGTTTACTGATTTATACTCCCACCAGCGGTGTATAAAGGTTTCAGACGTATTACATTAATTGGCTCTTAGAATTAAATTCTCCCCATGAGGACACATCTCTGATTTTTTCACTGGAAAATAAATTTTATTTTTCAAAATTGCTTGACAGCTAACTTCTCAGGAACGTATATCATTGTTCTGTTTGTAAATGAGAGGGTGGCCTAGATAATCTCTAAAGTCCCTTCCAGTTTGACAATGTGAGTTTCCATCATTTATTCATTAAGTGAGAGCACCCGAAGCAGAAGCTTGGCCTTTGGCTACGTTGCCGGAATTATTTTAGGAACACACAACAAGGTTCAGAACCAAAGAACTGTGTGTCCCGTCTCTTAGTGTCGTGCTGTCAGGTAGAAAGGCAGTGCTGGGAGGGCATCATGCCAGGTTACCTTGGCTTGGAAGGAAGACTCTGTAGCCCATGGGAAAAGGGTCTTCTTCCCACTGCCCTGTTCTCTCCCGAGGCTCTTGTGATTTAGAAGTTTGCCCTATTTCTTTATTTTTTCTTCCAAGAATAATAAATGCTTGTTATAAAAGATATATATATACACAAAGTGTATAACGTCAGAAGGAGAATCCCCCTCATACAACTCTCCAGAAGTAATGTTGCTGAACACTGTTGCATATCCTCGCAGGCTTTCTTTCTGCGCATGTACACATGTAGATTTTTTCATGAGGGTTCTTCAAAGTCGGAGTTCTACCAAATGCATTATTCTGACACTTGTTTTCTTTTGCCTAAAGTATATATCTTTGATATCTGTTCCAATCAGTGCATACAGATCTACCTCTCTAACAGCTACGTAATATTCTGTTGTGTGAGTGGCTACCGTAACAGATAAGATCTGAGTACTTACTGGATATCAGCAACTATGAATTAACTCCTTGCAACGAGGCAATGAGATAGGTCTTTTTGTTATCCCTGTTTGACAGATACAGGGACCGAAGCACAGTAAGATCAGGGAGCTTGTCCGAACTTGTGCTGATAAGCAGCAGAAGCAGGATGAAACCCGAGCATCCTGGCTCCGAGCCTGCCCCTTAACTGTCCTGCTGTGCCACCTCTCTGACATAGTCCGTTTAACCAGTCCCCCGTGGTTGGACATTTGAGTCGATTGCAGAGTTTTGCTATTGCAAACGATATTGCAGCAGATTCCTCACCCACTTCTGCAAGTATTTCTGTAAGACAGGTTCTTAGACTTCTCCAGTTTACAGGTGGAAAGAGCTTATTCATTTGTCCAAAAAAATGTTTACTGAGCTCTGAGGTCAGACTAGGAGAGTTGACCAAGAATGTTACTTCTCAGATGTCCTAGGCAAGTCATTTAAATGCTCCGTAGGGTTTGCCAGCTGGGTGATGCCCTAGACCCCAGGCTCACTGCATCCTGTCTGTTCTTAATTGCTATGTCTTTGGCTGGGTAGTGGCATGACTGAGTCAGTGCTTGGGCTCCCACCTGGTGGCCCATAGCCAAAAATCTTCTCTACTTGACAGGGATCAGGGACTACAATGCCTCAGAGCCTGGGTTCTAGAATTTACAGAGGCAGAATAGTGTAACAGCAAAGAACTCGTATTCTGGGACACACTTGCCTGGATACGCATTCCAGCTCCTCATCTCATATTCACAACATCACTTTGTACAAGTTATGTACTGCCTCTGTGCCTCCGTGTTCTTATCTGCACAAGAAAAGCAACTATAGTAATTACTTCATAGCGTTGTCATGAGGATTAAATGACTTGATATGCAGACTGATCAGTATGTAGAGTGATTAGTTAATATATGAAAACATGGAATACAGTAAGTTTTAACTATTATTATTTATTTGGCTATAGAAAAGCTGCTACACCAATCTTTCAGGAAACAGTTGAGGATGTCTATGGCAATTTGGTGAGGAGGGGAGGGGAGGAGGGGAGTAGCTGTTAAATAGCTAATATATTTACATGGTTCAAAATTCAAAAGGTACAAGGATATTCAGTAAAAACTACATGTGCTATTGGCAACATGGGGCTTTTGTGGATGTGGGTAATTATTCTATTTCTCAACCTGAGCAGTAATTATAGAGGGATTTGCTTTATAACAATTCAATATATTTTACACATATGTTTTATGCACTTTTTTGTAGGTATATTATATTTCTCAGTTTTAAAAAGAGGGAAAATAGGGAAAAATTCTAAAGGAATGGAGGGAATTCTCCCATCTCTATCTAGTAGCCACTTTGTTCCCTTCCCCAAAGGCAATCAATGTAAACACGTTCATTTGTATACTTCCAAAGATATTTTACTGTAAATACAAGCACATATTTTCCTTTTTTTAAAACAAATGTGAACTAACCAAACATATTTTTTTTCTTGTTTTCATTTTACTTAAAAATTTATCTTAAGAGATCATTCCATATTGGCACATAAAGAGTTCTTAATTCTGTTTTTACTAGCTGTATAGAATTCTACTGTACGGATACACCATTATTTATTTAACTAGTGATGGATATTCAGGTTGTTTGCAATGTTTTGCCATTTCAAGGCTTGCTTCAAACGCTAACATTCTGCATACATCATTTCACATAAATGCAAGTAAATATGCATATCCCAAGCCTTTCTCTTTGTGCCTCTGGGGATTTGTACCTACAAAGTTGAGGACCTGTACAGCTACCTAATTGGAGTTCAATTCAATAAATCAGGTCAGGAAACATTCACCGAGTGTCTGCTCTGTGCCTAGCACTGTGTTAAAAAATATGTGGGATAGAGATAAATATCAGGCAAAGACCTCGTCCTCCACGAGCCATCAATTTCGTTTTCATGCTGGAATCCTGGTATTTCCCACCTGTTTTTAAAGCTTATATCTCTGTCCAAGAAAAATAATGTTTTCCCCCAGAAGCCTCCTGGAAGGGCCTGTGTGCCGCTTTGAGAACCAGGAAAAGAGTAACCCTAGTGGCAAAAAGCGACAGCTTGATATCTAGCAGGATCCCTAGGGAAGATCCCAGAAGAGTTCGCTCCACCCCAGAAGCATCCTCCACACTACTCCATGTGTCCAAATCTTCTCTCTCACCTGAGCTCAAAAGCATCTCTTCCATAAATACATCCTAAATCCCCCCAACTTTAGGTGAACACTTCCTCCTCTGTGACCTCTCATGGCCTGACTTCTGTGTCCCACATAAGGGATGAGTCATGTCCTCCCTTAAGTTATACTTTTGTGTTGTTTATATATCTTTTTTCCTACACTTGACCATCTGAGGACCAAGTCATACTCATCTCCAATTCCTCACAGCCTCTGCAAATTAAAGGAGGAATAGGAAGAGAAGCAGTGTGTGTAGGCGGTAATTTGGGACAGGATAGAGATAAGTAGAGAAGCAGAAAGAAGAATCTTTGTGTAGAACAAAACACTGGCCAGGAGTCATGAGGCCCAGGTTCACTCGTGTCTCAGCCTCTTCCTCTGTCAGATGGGATCATAATCCTGGCTGGGCCAATCTTACCAGATTACACTGAGGATCAAGAAAGACAGTACAGCAGGCTACAAAAGCATGCTGCACAAACATGGGAAATGCTAGAGTTTTCATGCGTGGCAACTCTTAAACATCAACATTTTATAAGTTAGCAAACCAACATCTAGAGAGGTAAAATGACTTGAGTTCACAGTTGGTGGCAAAGTCTGAAAATAGCAGAGAATAGTCATGCTAGGACCAAAAGGAGTTTATTCCTTTTCTTGCCAGTATTGGAATTAGAAGATCTGAATTCTCTGACTCCTGGGTTTGTTTTATTTTTGTTTTGTGAGGCATCAACTTGAAATCAGGTCAGCAGAGGAATGGGAAGGAAGGAAGGAAATCTATAGAGAGGTGAACCTCAAAAGAGAAAGAGACAGCTCACGAAAGAAGAAATACAACTGGCCACTAAAAATGTAGGGGGAAAGTTAAGCATCTTTAGTAATTGAGGAAATACAAAGTAATTCTCAAGATGCCATCTTCACTCACAAAATTGGCAAAGATATTCTAAAAATAAGAATACTCACTGTTGGCAAGTGTGCTTGGAAACTGGCACTCTCTACATTGCTGGTGGTAGTATAAAGTGGTCTAACTTTTTTTCTAGGGCAATTTAGAAGTATGCGTCACAAGCCTGAAATTGGCTCATACCCTTTGATCCAGGAATTCTCCCTTCTAGGAAATTATCCTAAGGAAAGAATCACAAATATGCATAAGGCTGTTCACTGCAGTGTGACTTAGGTCTAATTGTTAAATTATGGTATATCCATTCAGTGGAATAGTATACAGCAATAATTACAGCTGACATTTATTGAGCAGCATACTATTGTCAGACACTGTGCTAAGTTATTTAAATACATTATTAATTTTAATCATTAGAACAATTTCTATGAGGGCAGTATCCTTGTCATCCCCATTTTGCAGATGAGGGCACTGAAGCTCAGAGAGGTTAACTTGTCCCAGGCCACACTGCTAATAGGTTGAATAGTGTGGATTTGTCTGACGCCAAAGGCCATGACCTCAACCATAGCGCTCTATCTCTTTTGCAGCCACTAGAGATCATAGTTTAGAGGAATAGTTGGTGACATTCTAAAATAATCATGATATAAATGGCAAACGAGAAAAGCGCAATACAACGTGATGTATATCATATGATGACAATTTTATTTTGAAAGTGTATATATATTTTTTCATAGAAAAACTACTGTAAGGCTTTTCACCTGTTAGTAATGGTTATCTCTGGGTGGTAGTATTGTAGGTTCCTTTTATTTTCATCCTTATGATTTTGTGTATTTTCCAGTTTTTCTATGAAGAACGTGCATTACTCAAGTAATCACCAAAAACCAAAACATTAATATAAAAAGAGGTCTGAAAGCAAGCTTTCATGCTTATAGCACGTCCATAGCAATACTTTGTTTTTTATCTGAGTTATTAAGTCTTTTATGTTGGCATTGGACCAGGGGGAGCCACCTTTTCATCCATTCTTTGGCGAATCTCTTTGGGGACGAGGAGCTATGTATCTGTGTAACCTCTAGGGACTTCGACTACAATAAAGTGTCCTTTAGACCAAAATTCTTGCACCGTCGTGATCTGTAACAGTCCCCAATCTTTGGATCATGGACCCCTGAGGAGGAGGGAAGGGTACTTACTGCAAGGAGTCCACAGATCTTTAAATGTGTGAGTGTTTTTCTCACTCTGTAAGTATAAAAGTACAGCTACTATTGTAGGTGTGAGTGGGTGAAGTGAGATTTTTCTTTTAATCTTAAGAAGTGGCCCTTATACCCAAAATGTTGGGAACCACTGAAATAGAGACTAAACATGGTGGCTATTTAATCATCAGCATCAGGAATCAAAGATGCTCACTTCCTGCCCTTTGGGTCAAGATTTGTATGTCTCTGCCCCCCACTAAAAGATATCACTTTTGTTATTTGCAAGCATTGTTTTTGCCACCCTTTCTCATTGCTCTTGTCTACATTCACTAAACTGTCAATTGGTTTGTAGATCTAACTTCTTCACTGATATCTTCCTTTTCTAAGCTTAGCTCCTGACATGTAAAGCTGAATATGTCTCAAGCATAGCTTATTATGGAACACTGCCCAAGCACAGCTTATTATGGAACACTGCTCTCATCCCCTACCACACCAACTTCGCTCCTTCTCCTGTCTTCCCTCTCTTGCTGTTGGCAACATTATCCACCCGGCTCCCAAATTAGAAACCTTTGACTCCTTCACCTCCCTTACCCTTCACATCCAATTGATCACCGAGCCCACAGTATTTTACCTCTTCAGGGTATCTCAGAGCCATGCTCTCTGCTCCATGCTCGCTGCAACTGCCTGCCTATTATACCAGCTTCTCAATAGGTTCTTCCCCTGGGAGAATCACTCCACCAGGCAGCCAGAGGGCTCTGTCTAAAATGCAAATCTGGCTGTGTCATGCCCCTGCTTAAAATCTTCAGTGCCTCCCTATTGTCTATAAGATAAAGCAAGAATCCTCTGCTTGTCATTCAAGGCATGACCCCATCTGGCCACAGCCTCATTTTCCAGCCTCGTCTGCTACTCCCCACAGGGCACCTACCTTGTACTCTGGTCACACATTTTATTTTCCTGCTGTTTGGAATGTTCTTTTTCGTTTTATCTTCTCTGCCTAATGACAATTCGATTTTTCTTTCATTACTCACCTCAAGCATCTTTCCTCTAGAGAGACTTTTCCTGACATGACCAGGAAGAACTCACCTCGTTTATCCCTTCTCTCCATCCCATAAATACTTCTATCGTTAATGCAAGCAACACTCTATGGCTTGATTTTTTCCCATGTTTATTCTCCCTGTATGTGAACTCCTCAGGGGCAGGCACCAAGTCTGTTTCATTTCTGTGCCTCCTAAACTCTAGCCAACTCTAGCCATGCTGAACTTACCGTTCTCCAAACATGCTATGCTTTTTTGTAACATCTGCCTTTGCACAGGTGGGTCCCTCTGCTGGCAATGCCCTTCTCCCTTTCTCCCCTTCTCTGCATAGGCAAACACCTACTTATCCTTCAAGACTCATCTCAAATGCCATCTCTCTGAAGTCTTTGCACGTCCTCAGATAGAGTTAGTTGTTCCCTACTCTGTGCTCCCCTAGCCTTCTGGTCAATCCTTAATTATAACATTTGCCACATAAGCATTTTCTTGTATAATTACCAGCTTACATGACTGTCCCCCCACCTCCCTAACCCCCATCCCAAGCTCTGAAATCTCGGACATCTTTGTGTCTCTAGCACAAAGTACAATAGATAATAAATACTTCCTTGATCAATAAAGAAAGTCTTTTATGGTACAGAGTGGCCTGGGAAAAACTATTGGGTAGGTCAGCAAGCTTTGAATATTTATTTACATAACTGGTCAAGTCACCTCTGGGTAAGTGCTGGATTCATAGGCTTCTCTAGGTCTTGACTCTAAATCTCTCCTTGTTACTCTTACAGGTGCTTATGCTCAACGGTTGGTGCACTGCCCATCCTCACCCCCCATGAGCCTTGGTTCTGATGCAACCTATGGTCATGCAGGGATGCCCTTACACCCTCCCACGATGTCATGAGTGGCAGGCAGCTGACCAGTTCCATCACAGCAGCAGCCTCCGAAGTGCCTGCCCCCAGCTTCAGGTAAGATGCTGATAATAAAACAAAAACCTGTGGAGAAAGAGTGGACACAGAATCTGTGTGTATTCTTGTGGATGTCCATGCTTCCTAAGGCTCAGGGGCACTCTCTATATGCATGAAACCCCTTGGATATGATGCGACCTCTGGGCTCATCTCTTGTCACTCATGAGGCCTTTTATGGGGAGTATGGGGCAAGGAAGTGTGTTGCACTGGGCAAGCCAAAGGGCCCGCAATGGCTGGTTCTATATTAACCTCCCAAGGGAGGTCCCAGAAGAGCTTGATCCTTCAGGGCATGGCCCAGGACAAGCCAGGACCTTCCTTTGCCTTGGTTTCTCTGTGGTATATGTCATATTCTGCATCTACAGGATATTCTCTCTCCTTCCATCGGCTCTTCCTTCTCAAGTCCTTAGTCTTATTGTAGCTCCTGGCTCAGTGCCACTAAGAATCCCCTGAGCTTCATACCTGCCCCTCCTCTCCCTCTCCTTCCCTAGGAGTGGAGTGGTGGTGCTGTGTATGCCTGACTGTGTATGTTGGTAGGTGGGCAGAGGATGTGTGAGAGGCAGTAATCCTGAGAGGGCAGCCTCCTTCCTGACAATAAGGGAGGTCCGCGGGAAAGTTGACTGGATAAGGGTGAAGCATAAGTGTACTTTGGCTTGCCGTACAATGCTTTGGGGTCCAGAGACCATCGGGTGTGAGAAGGTACCGTGTTTCCTGGTATCTCACAGACGAGCTGTGGTGCTGAGTCACTGCTGGGGGTGCATTCAGCAACTGAATATACGGGGCGGCGGGGAAGGCAGAGAGGAAGGCCACTGGGATGGAGATTGTGAGTGCTGGGGAGCCCATTTTTAAGGAGAATAATGAGAAAAGGTCAAGATCTAGAGAGGCATAAGATCCAGGTCCTCCTGAGCTGTTTTCCCACCTCTAGCCAGAGAGAAATTGCTACCTCTTATTCTTAGAGCCAGTGTCAACTTAGAGTCCCCCAGAGCACCTGTCCCTTCCCCAGAGTGGGGCTTTTGCAATGTCAAGGGATTGAGAAGCCTGGGCCCTTCCAAACGGGTTGCCCTGCTCATTGTCCATCACCCCTCCCAAGCTTCACCACCTAGGCAGAGGGCCCTGAGGGCTTCATTTTGTGATTGAGAATGGTGAGACCAACCCCTCTCCTCTGCCTCTGTCTAGTTTCTTCTCTTCCTTCCTTACGGCCCTGACGTTGTCTTAAAGTTTCAAGAGATAAGGAGAGATCCCTGTGGGGAACCGGGGTGAGAAGCCAACATCTTGGCCACGAAAGCCAGAAGTAGAAGGCCATTGATAGGGAGAGAAAACAATTACTATTTGCTATTTGCCTATTGTGTGCCTGGCTCTGCTAGTGGGACTTGTGAGTACAAGGGGGAACTAGGAGGGGAGAACAGGGCGATAGAGCTGAGTGGGGAGTTAGGAAACTACGAAGAAGGCTGGAGGGAATGCAAAGCTAACATGGGTGGAGCCCAGCTCATCGTGGGCGCTTCCCTCAGAACCAGGACAACTTGGTTGTGGCTGGGTCACAAGGGACCATTTCTAACTCTGGGGCATTCCCAGTCCAGGGGACTCTGCGAGACTGGCTTAGGCCCAATTATCCCAGCATAAGCAAGGCAGCAACCCAGAGCTAGAGCCACTCCCTGCTCTTGGCCTGCCAAGCCCTGCCATCCCCCAGCCGCCCTGGATGGCTCCACCCTAGACCCCCAGAAAGGGTCAAGCAGCTGTTCCAACTATTCCTGTAGGTGGGCCTCAGCATGGAAACAATGTGGAACTGTGGAAAGCCCAGAAGACTCTGTGGGAGATAAATGAGGATGGGAACAGAACCCTTTTTGGTAAAAACGAAGTGTTTTCCCTCAGTGCTGAGGGTGGGAGCCCAGCTCGGGAATGTTAACCTTTCCCCAGGCAAGTCTGCTGGAAAAAGAGAAGAGTGGTCACTTCCAGAAGGGCCCTGCCCCTCAGGCCAGTGGCCCAGGGCAGCACAGGCAGGGTACAGGAAGCCCCCTGGCACTGGCCACCTGCATGGAGCTGCTGGGTTCCATTTTGCCCACTCCTTCCTCTGCAGAGGTCCAAGAAGATGCCCGTAGACCATCCATCTCCCCTGCCCTGGAGTGCAGTGGGGTCTGGGCGCGTATGACTCTCCCTCCACTCCTCTCTGCCTCCCCGAGGCAGGGCAGAGCGTGCCCTCGTATTCGCACTGGGCTCAGATGAATCTTCTGCTGCCCGGCTTCCTGATCCTGCTAACCCATGGCTCTGTCCCAGGTGTGCCATATATGTTCCTCACTGCCTCTGAGGACACTTACTTAGTCAAGGACAAGGCTTATTTTCAAGCCCATCCTCCTGCCAGGCCTTGGGGAAATTGCTTACCAGAGGTTTGTCACCAAAGTGGTCTGTTCCTTTCCTCCACCTCAGGGGAGGGGTGAGCCCGGAGGCAGAGTGAGTCCTTTGTGTCTGCCGTGGAAAGAGAATATAAATCAACAGAGCTACCCTCTGCAAGCCCCTCCTCAGCACCGTGGAATGCCCAGTCCCACTCCCGCCATCCTTGCCAGCCTGGGAGGGCCCTCCTGGCCCCGGTGTGGCAGGCCCAGTTGGGAGCAAGCCGGAATTCCCCAGGGACAAAGCTCTGATTCACCGGCTGAGCCCTGACATAGCCGCCCCCTCCAGATTCCTGGGGGGTCAGTAAACAAACAGGGTGACAGCTCCCGCCTCCTGGCCTGGCTCAGCGCTCTGTCTGCTCTGCCTGAGGGAGTCTGCTCAGAGCCCGTCAGGACTCTGCCTGCAGCTCACCAGGCACTGAGTCCAGATTCGTGCTGAGGGATAATCATGGAGCTGCCCAACCCTGCAACGGAGTCCCCAGGCAGCACAGGTAGGGTCAGCTCATGGGGACACAGAGTGACTGAGTTCCGAGCTTTGCCCCAAAGCTTGGCTGCTCCCTCACTTCCCTTCAGTCTGTGCTGGGAGCGCTGTTTTAATGGATGACTGGTTTTTGTTAATTGCCTGGAGAGTCTTGTGTGGGCAGGAAGTATGGTTTGGGGGTAAAGGGAGACTAGAAGAGTCTCGGCCACCAGCAGGACCATGTTCTTTCCAGAGAAGGCAAGTAGGGGGACAGGCAGGCTGGCAGGTGGGTTTCCCCTAGGGTGGAGCCGCACAGGCTGAGATTTCCTCTTCTACGCTCCCCTTCCCTCCACCTCCTACTGCCCCCGGGCTGGGCAGTCCTGGCACTGTGTTGGAAGTAGCTAACTTCTTAAGGGCTGTTTGGCACAACTTCCACTCCCCCGACCCCCACAATACCCCACGAGCAAGGGATGGGCTCTGAGCTTGAGGGCCCAAGGCAAGACTTTGGCAGGCTCCAAGGCTGGTCATCTTAGCTGCCGACTCTGGTCGGAGTCCCTTGGAGATCAGGATCCAAAATGCTGCTTTAGCCCTTTCTCAACCCATGGAAGGTGAACAGTCCTCTTTAGGACGATTTCCAGCCTTCCTGACTGGTGGAAAATGCGAGTGGGGAGGAGGGGGAGGGGACGCCAAGGCCTAGATTCATTTGGGAAGGATGTCTCTTGCTGATAGCTCTCTGGCTGGTCTGCTCTCTCTCTGAATCTTTATGGGGCAGCCCCTCAGCTTTCTGTTCTGGAAGGTGGGGTAAACTGTGGGGCCCTGAAATAGGAGCCTGCAGCTCACCTTGAATGCTATGGTTGCCAGTGTTTGGGCAATTGTGAGCCGCTCTTATCTAATGCAAGTACCTCCAGGACCTCATCTGGGCAATAGTCCTGGCAGAATTTACAACAAGAGAGATAATGATAGTCATCAGCAGTTATCTGTGACCGATCTGTACCAAGAGAGGACCTTGCAACAAATGGAGCCAAAGAGTCTTCCTTTATCTCAACCCCCACCTCCCCACTGAACACACCCTGGGACAAGGCCTTCTCTCCCCATGTTCACACTTGTCCTACTTTGGCTTGGTGCAGACCAGGGTGCGGCCCACTCCAGGGATTGCAGGATGTCTGTGTTTCTATCCAGGTTAGAGCTGCTGCCACCACCCCTGCACCTCCTCAGGATGGTGCTGGGGTTTCCTGCCTAAGCCCAAAGCTCTTCAACGGGTCTGTTGGCGCTGCCGGACCCCTGGAACCACCAGCCATGAATCTGTGCTGGAACGAAATCAAAAAGAAGTCTCACAACCTGCGGTAAGGCCCGGCCCCTCGAAACAGGGGCCTGCGGGATGGGCTCCGACGGTGCCGGGCTCCTTCTGCTGCTGCAGCTTGTCCTTCTCCTCGCAGCCTGTGCGTCTCCTTGTCAGCCTCACCGTCCGCTTCTTTCCTTCTCGGGCAGTGGGGAAAGAACCCGGGTCAGAAGTCAGGAGCCTCGGATTGGAGCCCCAGTTTTAAGTAGCTGTGTCACCTTGGATAAGCGGTTTGAGTTATCTAAATTTTAGCTTCCACTTATTTGTGGATTTTTTTGAGGAAAAAAATGAGTAGAAGAATAATACTGGTCCTACCTACCTCACAATGTTTCGTGAATATTCAAATAAGATATGGAAATCCTTTCTGAACTTCAAAGCGCTGATGTGTAAATGGAGGATATGATTACGCCCTCCTTTTCTTCTTCTCAGAACTGTCCTCCATCTTGGTAGGGCTCATCTGCCCTCTTCCCACCCTTTTAGCCCTCTACTCCCACCCATTGGTTGTGAGCCCACCTATTCCTCCCCAAGCTGAGGGCAAATCAGTGAGAGCCTGAGGGCAATATCCGCAGCACGTGTTCCTCTTCCCTCACCCCGCTCTGTAACATACACACTTTTTCTCTCCACTCCCTATCATCAAGGACCAAACTCCTGGCTTCTGGTGGGTTCTTGTGGGGATGAGGCAGCATGGAGAAGTAGAAAGAATGCAGGCTCTGGAGCCAGACAAACCTGAGTTCAGATCATAGCTTTACCAGTAACTCAACTGTGTGACCTCGGGCAAATTACTTAACCTCTCTGGGCAATAACAGTGCCTATCTTAAAAGCTGCTCTGGGAATTAGTAGAAGGAAAAATTTAGGTAAGGGGCTTGGCCCAGGTGGTAGGGAGGCAATGAAGAGTTATTACTGTCGGCTGAGGGGAGTGGGCTTGATGGCTGCACACAGGCTAGGCTGGCCTCCAGCTTCCTATCGCTTGGACCTCAGCTCATGGTTCATTTGGGGGGGTAGGCGGACAGAGATGATCATACAGTGTACATTTTTCTCCTTCCACACTTTAAACTTCTAGCCTGTGTTGTTACCATCCTTTGGGACCCTTGGGCTGCTAGTATTTGGGTGCATTCTCACACATGTGAGTGCCCACACTCAGCCACCTGACTTGCCTTTTCCTCTTACTGCATCCTCTCCTAGTCAGAGGGCAGACTCTGAGAAGCCCCTGTGGATGAACAGTTTGGCATGACTTGAGTTCCTCCAAGGCAAGAGGGCAACCAGACACTGTCACGTCTAATGCCCTTGGTCCGTTTCCTACCCTTCCCAGCCTGATGCTGGATACTCAACTCAACGAACCGACCTCCACAAAGTGTTTTAGTACTGAGCTCCATGGGGAGGTGCCTCGGGAGCCTCCGTGGGGGGATAAGAAGGAGGACTCCCGGCCTCCTCCTGCTTCAACCAGAGCAGCACCTCTTTAATCTGTGTAGTCAGCCCTCTGTCACTGAGGGTTCCACATCCGCAGATCGAAAGGCCCATTTAGGCAGAACACATACAGACCTTTTTCTTTGTCATTATTCCCTAAACAATATAGTCTAACAACTATTTACATAGTATTTACATTGTATTAGGCATTATCAGTAATCTAGAGGTGATTTAAAGTATAGAGGAGGAGGTGTGTAGGTTCTATGCAAATGCACCATTTTATATAAAAGACTTGAGCATCTGTGGATTTTTGTATCGGCGGGGGTCCTAAAACCAATCCCCTGCAGATACTGAGAGACGACTGTATACATTAAGGTTCCGCATAAATATTTGTTTGGGGAAAAAGATGTTTTGCCAGTTAAAAAGAAGATTGAAAATCACTGATCTTACCCATTGTGTGCAGTGCTCGCCTAGAGGCCTTCTCAGACCACAGTGGAAAGCTTCAGCTCCCTCTCCAAGAGATTATTGACTGGCTCAGCCAAAAGGATGAGGAATTGTCAGCTCAGCTGCCCCTGCGAGGGGATGTGGCCCTGGTGCAACAGGAGAAGGAGACACACGCGGTAGGTTAGAATTACGGAGGCCGCGAGGTGTAGCCTCTCAGTGGGGAAGGGACCTCTTCTGCAGCACCCTGACAGCCGGGCCCCCAGCCTCTGCTTAGACACTCAAAGTAACAGGAAGCTCTATGCAGTCCTACTGGTCTGTGGATAGCACTCCACAGAGTAAGTCAAACCTTCCCTCTCTATTCCTCTCATCAAACATTGGCCTCCCTTAAAATCCTGCCCTGAATTTTAATGGGGACAAGGAAAATGAACATGATACGATATGAAGTGAAAAAGTGCAGGATGCAAAACTGTATACAGGTGGATCTCAATTGTGCAAAAATCGATATAGATCTGTGTGCACCTATACACACATGGAAAAACAGAGAAGGAGCTATATCAAAATGTTCACATTGATAAACTCCAGGTGGTGAAATTAGAGTTCTTTTTAATTGTCTTCTTCATACTTTTCTGAAATTTCTAAGATTTCTGAGACTTATATTACCTCTATAATCAGAAAATAACAGATGTTTCTTAAAAATGACTATGGAATGCACTGGAAGAAATGATAATTATGTGATGTGACAGAAGTGTTAGCTAACACTACAATGGCAATCATATTGCTATATAAATATATCAAATTAATGTGTTGTACACCTTAAATTCACACAATGTTGTGTGTCAATTATACCTCAATTTAAAAAATGACTATGGAAAGAAATACAATACAGCAAGAAAATAAACAGACTATAACTGCGTGCCACAGTGTGGATGAATCTTAAAAGACAGTATATTGACTGAAAAAAAGCCAGGTACAAAAAGATACATACTGTACGATTCCATTCATATGAAATTCAAAAATGGGCAAAACTAAGCACTAGTGTTACAAGTCAGGACAGGAGTTACTTTGCTGGGAGAAAGGATAAGACAGCAACGGGAAGGAGCCATGAGTGGGCCTTGGAGGATGCTGGTGGAGTTCTGTTTCTTGATCTTGGTACTGGTTACAGAGAAGAAATCACTGTATGGAAATTCATTGAGCTGTACACTTTTGATTTGTGTACTCTTCTTTGTGCATACTTCAACAAAAAAAATTAATTAAAATTTTAATGTAAGTTCTGTCCATCCTGATTTTGATGTCTCTAAGCCCCTTACAGGGGACTTTCTGAATCTTCCAGAGAACCAAGATTCCCAACCCCAAATCACCGTGTTTCTCTGTACCTTGTAGCATAGACAAACCCATTTCATACCAAATAGACCTTCCAGCGTCAGACTTATTCTTCTGCCTATGAGGGGACTGCACTTCTTTTCGTCTGGGTAGCCCAAAGATACATGACATTGCCAAAGGATCAAGTTGCGCTGAGGAGAAGGAAGGTTGTCAATTACAGGATGGAATTGAAAGCAACTGAAAGACTTCCTTCCCTGTTGACCGTGTTGCTAAATTTCACAGGCCTTTATGGAAGATGTCAAGTCTCGGGGCCCCTACATCTACTCTGTACTGGAGTCAGCTCAGGCCTTCCTCTCCCAGCACCCATTTGAGGAATTAGAGGAGCCTCATTCTGAGAGCAAAGGTGCGTGGTCTTCTTCTCTTTCCCCTTCTTCTTGAGCTATGAACCACTAAACACCTTCCTGCCCTGCTCATTTTCTCGACTGTTATCTAGAAGGGTAGTGTTCTCCTAGGAGTCCAAAGGTGAGGAGGAGCAAGATTCATACTGCAAGAAAAAGCAAAGAGAACAGAGCTTGGAGCAGAACGAGTGTGTGACCCAAAGTTGTATGTGGCTCTCTGGAGCATCGTATGTGGCCTTCCAAAGAGGCATGAAAAGGAAAAAAGAAGAGACTCGAATGCACTCAAGTGAATAAAAGTAGTAGTATGTCCTTTAAAAACCTGCTGATTTTGGGGCCGGCCCAGTGGCTCAGCAGTTAAGTGTGCACGTTCTGCTTTGGCTGCCCAGGGTTCGCCAGTTCGGATCCTGGGTGCGGACATGACACCACTTGGCAAGCCATGCTGTGGCAGGTGTCCCATATATAAAGTAGGGGAAGATGGGCACGGATGTGAGCTCAGGGCCAGTCTTCCTCAGCAAAAAGAGGAGGATTGGCAGCAGAAGTTAGCTCAGGACTAGTCTTCCTCACAAAAGAGAAAATAAATAAATAAATAAACCCTGCTGATTTATCCCAACATAGAGAGACATGTGGCAATGCTCTAATCAACCAACAAATACAAAAACATTTTTACAATCTAAAAAGTTGGATGATGACATTTGAGAAGAAAATTGTGTCTTTTTGATACTTCCCCTGGTGACTTCTGGCCCCTTCCCTCGATAGAGTGGGCCACGCTAGGCCTAGGTTCAAATAAGGCAGCAGGGTGGGATCGACGGTGATTAGGTCTGAGCGGTGGCCCAGCAAGCCCTTTTCTCCATAAAGAGTCTTCAACCCTCTGAGATTGGCTATGAATAGCCTGGACAGGCCTTTCATTAATTGACTCCTTTGTCAATGTTGTTGACCCTCCCAGTTTACTTTGAGCCCCTCAGTAGGAGGGCCAGAACTCAGTGTACTGCCCAATGGGCCTCAGATAGGACAAGCTCAAGAGAGAGCAGGACAATTTCAATTAGCCTGGGGGCTCTGAATCTACTTCTGAGGGGAGGTCTGAAGGAGGAAGAGGAAAGCTACAATTTAGGAGCCTAGGTGGAAAAGTTGGGCAAGTTATACTGACCTCTCTTGGGCTGGGCCTTCATAAATATCCCCCTTCTTAGGATGGAAGTGGGCAGCAGACACTAACGCAAAATTGCATTCCAGGGTCCTGTGAATAGGATCCTGGGTGATTTGCTTCACTGCACCTTTTAATATACTTTACTCACTATTTACCTTGCCCAGTTTTTAAGAATATGAGGAAATTATATAGTCAGTGGAAAATACCAATATGGTCTCTTGACTGTGTTGGTGGAACCATGAACCTACACATATGATAAAATCACATAGAACTAAATACACACACACAAATGAGTACAAGTAAAATTGGGGAACTCAACAAAATTGGTGGATTGCACGAGTATCAATATCCTGGTTGTGATATTGTACTATATTTTGCAGGACGTTACCATTTGGGGAAACTGAGTAAAGGGTACATGAGATCTCTATGTTATTTCTTACAACTGCATGTGAATCTACAATTATCTCAAAATAAAAAGTTTAATTTAAAAAAACTTGAGTGTACAAAAGGAGCTCAACCATGGAAAAACGTGTATTTGTGTGTATATGAATATGTACACAAATGCACATGTGCACACATGCACACACGCACACTTTTATGAAGGGCTGTCTTTGTCTCTGTCTTTCCCTGGGCTGCCCCTGCCTGCCTGGCCTGACCTGACTTCCTGCCTACCCTTGCAGATACCTCTCCCAGGCAGCGGATCCAGAATCTTAGTCGCTTTGTGTGGAAGCAGGCGACGGTGGCCAGTGAACTATGGGAGAAGCTGACAGCCCGCTGTGTGGACCAGCACCGCCACATTGAGCGCACTCTGGAGCAGCTGTTGGAGATCCAGGGGGCAATGGAGGAATTAAGCACTACTCTGACCCAGGCTGAGGGAGTCCGAGCCACTTGGGAGCCTATCGGGGATCTCTTCATTGACTCACTCCCTGAGCACATCCAGGCTCTTAAGGTATGCAGGCCCCCTGGCTACAGTCCACCCTGAGACCTGACACTCCCCCAGACCCTGACAACGCTCCTGCTGCTGAGACTCCATTGTTGGCCCTGGCTACAACTGAGCCTCTCCCAGTTTATGTGCTGGATTTGGGGGCTGGTTTAGCTGCAGTCTCCTCTGTCCTACTGTCTTCTCTTTCCCTAGTGTTTTCTGAGAGTAGAAAGGGAAGAGGATAAGGATGGTGGCTGCCCACACCTTAGTTCAGTTGCCCCAATAGGCAAGCACCTAGGTTGTGTTGTTGAAACAAAATCTCTGGGTGAAGAAGGAGGAATTGAGGTGAATGACTAATGGTTCCTCTTTCCCACTCTCTGTCCGATGTGGGACTTGGGTCCTGGCCCTACAGCTGTTCAAAGAAGAATTCTCCCCCATGAAAGATGGAGTGAAGTTGGTGAACGATCTGGCCCATCAACTTGCCATTTCGGATGTGCATTTGTCAATGGAGAATTCCCGGGCCCTGGAGCAGATCAACGTCCGGTGGAAACAGCTACAGGTAGAAGAGGAGCCTGGAGTGAGCCATGAGGAAGAGCCTCAATATAACTAGGCTTGGGGGAAACTTCTCCAGGCCCGAAAGAAGTAAAGGGGTGTTGAAATAAGATCTACATGGGAAAGGAATAGTAGAGAGTTTGGGGCCAGGCAACAGACTTCTCAATCTCTAAGCTGCAGGGAGTGATCGAAATGAAGATCTGATCGGGGCCAGCCCTGTGACCGGGGGTTAAAGTTCCACACGTTCTGCTTCGGCGGCCCAGATTTGCAGGTTCGGATCCCAGGTGTGGACCTAGTCCACTCATTGGCCACGCTGTGGAGGCATCCCGCATATAAAGTGGAAGGAGATTGGCACAAATGTTAGTTAGCTCAGGGCTAACCTCACAAAAAGAAATGAAGATCTGAGAGGAGGCTGTCTACACGTGGGCACTTAGGGTAGACAGGGGCAGATGAAGAGTGACTGCAGCCGGGAACAAGGGATGCACTTCTCTGACCCTTGGGAGTGCTGTGATAGGGCTAGGAGTTGGGTGATGTTGGGAGGAGCTGGAACCAGAGGAGAGCCAGCCTATAAGGGAGTTCACAAAGATCCCCTGAGGGACCTGGAAACCCCGTACTAAATATCTGGAATGAATCTACTGACTTCCTACCTGTTCTTTCCATAGGGATCAGTTGGCGAGAGGCTTAAGCAGCTCCAGGATGCCCACCGGGACTTTGGGCCTGGGTCACAACACTTCCTCTCCTGTACGTGAGACAAACGGCACTTCACTTAGCAGAACCTCAGCCACCTTCCAAGAGAGTCTGCTGTTGTCCCTTGGGGGCCCGATGGGATCCCAGTATACCTTGGCATACTGAAGCAGTAAGGATAAAGCAGTGTAGCACAGTGGTTAAAAGGACAGGCTCTCCAGTCAGAGAGACCTGGGTCAGAGTCATTGCTCCTGGACTCCATAGCTGTGCAAGCTTGAAAAAGATAGCTTCACCTTTCCGAACCTCAATTTTCCCATATGAAAAAAGAGGGGGAATTATTACCTAGCTCATAGGGTTATGGGAATTAAATGACTTAATTTTTTCAACAACATATGTCGAGGGCCTCCTGTGGGCCAGGTACTGTTCTAGGCACTGGGGGTGTATCAGGAACAATACAGACAAAAGCCCTCAGACTTGTGGAGCTTACATTCTAGTGGCGGAAGCCAGACCATAAGCAAATAAGTAAAATATATATAAGGTCGAATGATGACAAGCGCTATGGAAAGAAATAAAGCAGGGAAGGCGTGAATAGCGAGTGCTGGACTTCAGTGGGGAGGCGTTGCGATTTTAATAGTGTGGTCAGGAGGGGCCTCACTGAGAGCACGGCAACTGAACAGAGGCTTCAAGGAGCTGAGGGGATGAGCCATGTGGACATCTGAGGGAAGAGCATACCAGGCAGAGGGAACAGTGAGTTCCGGGACCTTAAGGCAGGGGCATGGCTGAGGAACAGCAAGGAGAGCCGTGTAGAAGAGCATAAGGAAGGGAGAGAGCGGGAGGGCAGCGTGGTAGCGGGAGGCAAGAGGTGAGAACTTGGGATTTCATTCTGAATGGAATGAAGAACTTTTGGTGGGGTTTGAACAGAAGGATGACACGATCTGACTTATGTTTCAACAGTGTCAGCGTGTTGGGAAGCAAGAGTGGGAGCAAGGAGACCTGTTAGGAAGCACATTGCAATAATCCAGGTGTGGGCCTATGGTGACCCAGATCGGGGTGGTAGCAGTGGAGATGGTGGGAAGAGATAGATATGACAATTAGATATCTACACAAAGCATTCAGCAGAGTATCTGGCACATAGTAGGAGCTCAATCGATGTTAATGGAGGTTAGAACTATTGCTGTTACAATCACTGGCATGCAGCTATACGTGCAGAGGGCTCTTGTACCCAGGGAAGCTGCAATGAGGAGGTTGGCCAGGGAACTGAGCCTCTCCTGGAACATCCAGAAGATAAAGACACAGAGCAGATAGGGCCATCCTTTTCCGGAGTTCCTCACCAGGCAGAAATGGGCAGTACCATTCCCCATTGTCCCACAGGACTGAGAAGCTTGACCTTCTTGGGGAAGGGCTTTGAGCCGCACGAGGAAAGTAGGATTCACTTCATATCCACAGCAGTACCCCAGCTGTCTGCAGCTGAACGGGTAGAAATGGCGGCCTGCTCAGGGAGAAGATTGTCAGGGTGGCCAAGGCCAGGTATTCCTGTTCATGCCCCTGCCACGTCTCTGGCACATGAGGGTATCAGTGATGACCTTTTCTCCTTCCCTTGCCCTAACATCAGGGAGAGAAGTGTGTTCATTAGAAGTTTTTGTCCCACCCTCAGGGGCTGTTAAGAGCTGGCAGTGAAAGTCAAGCATCCTCTTTGGGGTTTGACCACCTATTTGGGAGGATAGAGCGGGGGAGTTGCCCGGAGCCTGAAGAGCATTAGTGGCCAGCTTCTTTCTCTTTCTCTTCTCCCTTACCAGCCTCTGTCCAGGTTCCCTGGGAAAGAGCAATTTCACCCAATAAAGTTCCCTACTACATCAAGTGAGTGATCGTCTGAATCAGAAGCGGGTCAGTCACCTGCCCACCTCCTCCCTTACTTGTCTTTTTTCCACGTGTCCCTGTCACTTCTTATCTGTTGGGATTCCTCCACCCAGTCCAGTTTTTCCTCCTACTCATCTCAAGAGCTCAAGATTCTACCTGGGTAAAGGTGAATGCTTGTGCCTTGGGATCTTCAGGGTTCACCCTCGGATCCTGCTGCTCCTTGCATCCAACCTATCACTGAGTGGTGCGCACCTGTGGGAGCGGGTGGGGGATGGTGTGGACCCTGGCGCTATTTATGCTTTTGTTTGTAGCCACCAGGCTCAGACCACATGCTGGGACCATCCCAAGATGACGGAGTTATACCAAACTCTAGGTAAGAATGCGGAGATTTATACAGCTGCCTTTGTCCTATAAGAATGGAAGGGAGTCCCATTCAAAGAGCCTCAACTGGAGGCTCTCCACTCCCCCTGGACCATTTTATCATCACATTAGGGAATTATCCTACAGATGTGAACCAGATTACTTTGAGAGACACTATCCCGGCTGTGATGAGGGTGACTCTCATGTGCCTTATCTTTGGCTACTAAGAGAGACTCACGATTACGTTGTAAATTTTACCCATGTTGATGCATGTGACTACAGTTCATTCATTTTTACTGCTGTAGAGTGTTCCATTGTATATACCACAGTTTCTTCATCTGTTCTACTGTTGATGGACATGTGTGTCATTTCTAGTTTGCAGTTAACAAGAACAGAGCTGCTAAGGAGCTCTTGCCCATGACTTCCAGTGCGCATGTGCATGTTTTCCAGTCTACAGGTCATAACGTCATTTCAGTTGTGACAAGCATAGAAAAAAATTGAAATAGACTAGGAAATATGAAACTGCAACAGATCCCTAGCGAGAGTCATAGGTGATATTAATTTTATGTTTTTACTTTATCAAATCTAGTAAGGTGGTGTTTCCTGAAATGTTTGATTCATTTATTTATTTATGTGCACATGTGTGTACGTATACTGGACTGCGATATAAATAAATTTCATACTATGTGTCTTGGTCAGAAAACATGTGAAAATCACTGCTCTGGGATACGTAGTTGGCTGGGTTGAAGGCTATGCGAATGCTCAGTTTTACTAGGTAATACCAAACTGTTTTCCAAGGTGATTGTACCAGTTGACTTTTCCACCAGCAGTTGTCATTCATCTACATCTTGGCTGACAATTGCTGTTGTTAGAGTTTTATTTTTTGCCCATCTGGTGGGTGTAAAATGGTATCTCGTTGTGGTTTTAGTTTGCATTTCTCTGATCTGAGTGAGTCTCTATTCTTTGCAGCTGATCTGAACAACATTAAGTTCTCAGCTTACCGCACTGCCATGAAGCTACGCAGAGTCCAGAAGGCCCTGCGCTGTAAGTCTCCCACTGCACTTCCCTGTGGCCTTCACCCCACTCCTGCTCTTCCTCATCTGTAAGCTGCTTCCCACTTTCATCCCACCTTGGCCAGGGTTGTTGATTCGCTTGATGGAAACTCTCCAAAGGCTGAGATATGCTGGCTGTGGACACCTGCTCTTTCCAGGGCCCTTCCATTCTCCCCAAGCCCCAGACTTGTTTCCAAATTAACCCACAGCTATCCTTTTCCTTGTCCCTTCTTCCACGCCCAACATGGATAATCAAGCAAGTCCTTGATGGCGGGAAGTATCCCAGTCGATGGTTTGGAGCCCCTGGGGGCTTGTGTTCTTTTGCCATCTTGAGGTCATTGGATGCAGCAGCAGAACTGTGGAAGCAAATTCCAGTGGTTAGGGGACAGCACGGCCGCAGATATAATGTGCTTTCTGGCCTTTCTCAGAGACACTGTCCATTCAATCCTCCTGGTCCAGGCATGTCTGGCTAGGCTGATTTCAGCATTGGGGGTAATCAAAAAGTCCTCCTGAGGGGCCAGCCCAGTGGCACAGCAGTTAAGTTTGCATGTTCCGCTTCGGTGGTCTGGGGTTCGCTGGTTCAGATCCCAGGTGCGGACCTACGCACCACTGGTCAAGCCATGCTGTGGTAGGCGTCCCACATGTAAAGTAGAGGAAGATGGGCATGGATGTTAGCTCAGGGCCAGTCTTCCTCAGCAAAAAAAAAAGAAAGAAAGAAAGAAAGGAGGAGGATTGGCGGCAGATGTTAGCTCAGGGCTAATCTTCCTCAAAAAAAAAAAATCTTCCCGAGGTATGTCACATTTACCCAGGCATACCTAAGCCTTCATAACTGGTGTCTAGGATCTCAGAACAAGGCTTCTGGGCTAACAAAGCTATTTGCAGTTGAAATGTGTGTAAAGACAGAGAAACTTAAAATGGCATTTGACCCCTTGGGAGTTAATACAACAGAAGAGGTGAGTTTACTCACATCCCATCAACTTCTTGAAACGGATATCAAAGAACATGTGGATGTAGAAACATTTTGTGTTAATTTATGGGGGGCTTTTGTTGCCTTCCTCCTCTTTGAGATGAGGTTCTTGGTAAAGGACAAAGCCTGTATCATACTTACAAATGGTTGCTCTGGAGATTGAGTCGAATTCAGTGAGGCTGGTGGCCTTATCTCCTTGTCTAGCCCCTGGGCTTCTACTTTGGGCTGTACTTTCTCCTTCTCTCCTTTCCTTCCCAGTGGACCTGGTAACTTTAACCACAGCCCTGGAGATCTTCAACGAGCATGATCTGCAGGCTAGTGAGCATGTGATGGATGTGGTGGAGGTCATTCATTGCCTGACCGCCTTATATGAACGGCTGGAGGAGGAAAGAGGCATCCTGGTCAATGTGCCGCTCTGTGTGGACATGAGCCTCAACTGGCTGCTCAATGTTTTTGATAGGTAAGGTCTTGAAGCCCTGGCAGCCCTCAGGATGAAATTCACTGAGGCAGCTGGAGTGGGCATGGTGGGAAGGGCTTTCTCCCGTGGCAGACTTGGACCCAGCTCAGCATGGGGCATAGTTGGCACAGAGCCCTGCTGGGATCAACTCTGTGAGGGAAATGTCTGCCAAGATGTTAACCTTTTACATATATTCATGTTCTCAGTGTCTTCTTTTAAACCTAGTGGTCGCAGTGGAAAGATGCGGGCATTGTCCTTTAAGACTGGCATTGCATGCCTGTGTGGCACAGAAGTGAAGGAAAAACTGCAGTGTGAGTACAACTCCCAAGTCTGGAGTGGAGTTGGGTGGAGGGAGACATGTGGCGGGAAGAGGAAGGGTATAAGATAAGCAGAAGGTAGGTCTTGTGACTGAGCGGAGGGCTACTTGGGTAATGCTTCCCGCTCTAGGCTATTGCAAAGAACCTACAACAGCCAAAGGCCAATATAGGCCTAAGGCCTGTGATTATTCCCAGTGTCACTCCACAGGGTTTGGCTTCCTCTGATCTGAGGTAGTTACTTGACCAGGATCTGAGTTCGCATCTTGGGGTACCCAGGGTCTGGACTTTCTAGTTCCATTCCTCTGTGGCCTATCAGGCTTAGCCCTCCCCCAGTCTGAAGCTCCAGCCACATCACACATTCTACAGGAGACTTCCCATGGGAAGGGTACAGTAATCCCCAATATCTGGGAGGTGAACAGTATGTAATTCTGTGGTCTTTAACCTCTCTGTTTTAAAGTACCTTTGCTTTCCCCTCCCTCCTCCATCTTTTGTACGGCATTTTGTACTTTTCTGCAGTTGCATCGTTAGTCGTCAATTGCTTAATGTGTCATTTAGCATTGACCACTATGCTAAATGTGGTGAGTAAAGGATTCAATTAGACATGGTCCCTGCCTCAAGTGGTTTATAGTCCAGAGGAGGAAGCAGAAGTCACAGAAATCACGTTTTAAAGTGCTAATTAGCATAATCTGAATGGCAAAGGATATGGGCTATATCAGATCACAGAAGAGAGATGACAGTGGTCTGGGAAGACTCTAGAGGGAAGGAGACAGTTTAAAGCATTTCATAGCTATGATATTATTTATTTCGAACATTCCTCTGGGAAGGGATGGACAGTGATTATTTATCCTCAATTTACAAGTAAGGAAACTGCAGCATAGAGAGGTTCATGACTTACCCAAGGTTCTGCAAGCTAGTCAGTAATGGATCCAGAACTACAACCCAGGCCCTCTGCCTTCCACTTCTGTGTATTGAAGTAGGAAGTATGAGGTATGAAACAGACAGCCAAGAACCTCTGTAGGAGATTTTCTAAGGTTGGAGTGGGATCGAGGAATTCCCACAGGACAGATGTAGCCAATATTCAAATATAAGTCCTATAGTTTATTCCACGATCACTTAAAGATATTTCTTAGACGATCAAGTGCTTTGAATTACCTCCTCTTTTTAGATTACCCACGCCAGTGTTTCTTTCCATTTGTGTGGGTAATTGAGAGATTACTGCAGTAGCAGACTACATGAGCTACATGAACAGGAGGGGCTAGGGCAGACCTGCTGTAGCTCATGTTCAGGCACCTCTGAGCCCCACACCCTCTCATCTCACTTCTCAAGAATCTGTTTTCCCAGCGATGTCATATCTGTGTCTGGCACTACTCTCACATGCAGCTCGCTCTCTGTCTTCATCTCTCTCTCTCTCTTTCTCTTTCTGATGCTCTCTCTCTTTGTGTTTATCTCACTCTTTCCCTCCGAACACAGAGAATGCTCTTTTCAGAACTCCTGGGCTTCTAGAAGGTCAGGGATTGGCCTTGAGGTATCCAGTTTCAAAAGTCATTAGCTAAGTCTGTGTGCTCTTTCCCTGTCTTTCTTTTCTGCTCTTTCTCCTCGCACCCTTCTCTGGCCATTCCTGCATCGGGATTGGCTGTGACTTATGGTGGGGCCAGCAGACCTCTTCAGCCAAGTGGCCAACTCAGGCAGCCAATGTGACCAACGCCACCTCGGTGTCCTGCTTCATGAGGCTATCCAGGTGCCCCGTCAGCTGGGGGAAGTGGCAGCCTTTGGGGGCAGCAATGTGGAGCCCAGTGTTCGTAGTTGCTTCCGTTTTGTGAGTATGGAATTGGGGAGGGATGATGAGAGGGAGGGTGGGAAGAAGGGAGGGAGGACTAAAAGCTAGGCTTTTGATCCGAAGTACCCAGATGTAAGGGAGTTTGTTGGGATGAAACAACGGGGCAGAGAGTTCTCTGGGCTTTTAGGGTCAGAGTCCTGACGGGGAGGGTACCAGCTCAGCTAGGACAGGGCAGAAGGTGGACACCACTGGAGAATAGGCCAACCCAGGCCTTGCTGGTTCTCTTGTCCCTCTGAGGGCTGCCATTCTAGGGACAAGACACTTGGGGCTTCAGTCATTGCCATTGGGCTTCTTGATTCCTTAGAGCACTGGGAAGCCAGTCATTGAAGCTTCACAGTTCCTGGAGTGGGTCAACTTGGAGCCGCAGTCCATGGTGTGGCTGGCTGTTCTGCATCGGGTCACCATTGCTGAGCAAGTAAAGCATCAGACCAAGTGCTCTATCTGTAGGCAGTGCCCCATCAAGGGCTTCAGGTAGGGAAAGCAACGCCTACTGGAATGATAATAATAATAAATAGGCCATGTTATGCATAAATCATGTTACAAAGCAATGTATTACGTAATTATATAATTAGAGCTAATCTACCGTACATTGTTATATATTGTTATAATCTTTTCTATTGCAGAGTGTTTAACCTTTTAAAAAATCAGAACTGATGAAACATTTTCTTTTCTTTTAGTCGTGTTATGAAGGATTCCAGACCTACAAAAATGTGGAGAGAAGCGAAAGGGGGCAGGGTGGGGAAACAGCACAGAAAAGGAAATAATTTGCTCTTTTCCCAGGGAGCATTAGGTAGAACTCAGAAGCCCCAACACCCTGACATATAAGAACCCCTATGTACCAAATGGTATGCTAGCAAATGGTTCACAACAGACTCTCCAGAAAGCAAAAGAAGAAATCCAATTTGTGGCATTTGCTAATTTCCATGATGTGAATACTCCCACTGTGACCAGTGTCACAAGAGGTTGGGAAGAGATGCACAATTGCGTACTATTCATAGTATTTTCACCATGTGGATATGATAGACATAAACAACCTCAAGAGCACAGATAACAGTAAAATAATTAGGAAATGATGAGTTTTGAGTATTTATTACCTTTGTTTTTAAGATCATTTACTTAATTGTGAGTTTATATAATCTAATTTTTTTTCTCAAAGATTTTATTATTTTTCCTTTTTCTCCCCAAAGCCCCCAAGTGCATAGTTGTATATTCTTAGTTGTGGGTCCTTCTAGTTGTGGCATGTGGGACGCTGCCTCAGCGTGGTTTGATGAGCAGTGCCGTGTCCGCGCCCAGGATTCGAACCAACGAAACACTGGGCCGCCTGCGGCGGAGCGCGCGAACTTAACCACTCGGCCACGGGGACAGCCCCAATATATAATCTAATTTTTAAATAATGGCTGTGTTTAACAACTGGCTTGGAAAATCCCTGAAATTTTAACAGCTGGCTCTTGTGAGCTGGTGTGAGCCAGCTCCAGCACCCCATGGTGTGCACCCACCACCAATCTTAAGAAATAAAGCATGATTACAGTACATTTGAAGTTTCCCTGATTACATTCCCCTCCTCCCACAAAAGTAACCACTATCTTGAATTTGGCTTTCATCATAAAGCACTCAATTTCGAAAACTTTTTAAAGCACTAACACACGCTCTTTTTACAGCCACCCTGCATTTTTTAAAATTGAGGTACAATTGATATACAGTATTATATTAGTTTCAGGTGTACAACATAGTGATTCGATATTTGTATACATTGTGAGATGATCACCATGATAAGTCTAGTTACCGTCTGTCACCATACAAAGTTAATTTGATATTATTGACTATATTCTCCATGCTGTACATTACATCCCCAGACATTTAGTTTATAACTGGAAGTTTGTACTTCTTAACCCCCTTCACCCATTTTGCCTCCTCCCTAACTCCCCTCCCCTCTGGCGACCACCAATCTGTCCTCTGGATCTATGAGTCTAGGTTTTGTAACTACCTTGCTTTTTATAAGTAAATGAGGCACGGAGGTGGAACGTGACTTACCCAAGTTCACACAGCTGGTCAGTGTAGATCCAGGACCAGATGTTGGACCCTCTGACTTCTCTAATAAGTCTAGGTGCTTCACCAGACTATACTTCTAGGTCTGGGCAGTCCAGCCAGGCTTCAGAACTGGATCTGAAGGGCTAGGATAGATTTGGTAATAATAGAGTTATAATTATAAATAACTTTTAGCCAACTTGCCCAGGGCTAGTAGAATAAGTGGCCTTTGTATTGGAAGTGTAACTTTTCCAACACAAGTAGTACCTGTGAGACTGGACCTTTTGGGGCCATCCTAGTTTAGAATGCTTATTCGATATCGTGAGCTCTTTACTCCTGCCCCCTCCCTTAAAAAAGATAGTGAGACAGTGCTATTTCCTACATTTCTTGGGAGTCTGAGCGTGTGGTTGCATGGAGGTTTACGGTGTCTAGATAAGGCTAGTCATCTAGTGAGGACTGAGCCACTGCTGTGTATAGGAGGTTGAGCACGTTATGGCTCCATGCCTCCCCCTCTTCTAATGTGTGTGTATATTTGGATGTTAGGGAAATGGGGAGGTCACTATGGTACGTTGGATCCTCTGTCCTACCGCCTCTCCTCTCCCCAAGGTACCGGAGTCTGAAACAATTTAATGTGGACATCTGCCAGACCTGCTTCTTGACAGGCAGGGCCAGCAAAGGCAACAAGCTACACTACCCCATCATGGAATATTACACCCCGGTATGGAGCCTCTGGGCCGGGCGGGAGGGGTAGGCAATTCTCAGGCTCTGGGCCCTTGACCCACTTTGCCAAGCACTGGCTGACTGTATTCTGCTCTCCTTTGGGGAGCATTCACCGAGCAGTCCTGGTGATTTACCAGTTTGGAGGACTCAGGTCTCTCTGTTCTTCCAGCAGAGTTTCTCCCTCACCAGGGCCACAGCTGGCTGTAGCAGCCGAGGACACTCTGGGCCACTTAAAAGGCACTCACTATTTTCCTGCAGAGAGAAGTCTCCAGAAAAAATAGAGAGAGAATGGCAGTTCCAGGCGACTAGCATTACATTACTGGCTTTCACTTTTCCTGCCTCGCTTCCTGTATTGTTCCTGTCCCCTGGTCTTCACCTGCTACTTTGTCATTGTTTTCATCCCTTCTAGTCAATCCCAAAGTTTGTGCTCAAATTAATTACTCAGTCTCTTGGGGAAAATAAAGGTGTGCTCTTTACCTGGGTCCTCAAATTCCACTTGGTTTTCATTGGTAGCTGTGCCCTTCATAGCCACGTGAAACAGGTTGGTCAGCATTCTTGACCTCCAGCCACAGAATTTTTCATCTGCCGTGTTCAGGACCCCCAGCTCCAGGCTTGGCTTCCTGAGCTGACTCTGCTCTCTAAACTCCTTTATTCCTTCCTACCCCACAGACACTCCCAAAGTCCCAAGCATATCCCCAGCACCCCCACTGCCCTCTCCCCACCTACCTTACCATCTTTCAACTTTTTCCCCATAATCCATCTCTCCAAGCTGTCGTCTATTCTCCAAATTCTGTTGGCACAGAAAAATGTGTGACCCAGTAGGAGCAGGGAACTTGCCCTTTATTTTTCTTATCATTTTAAAATCAACACTATAAAAGTCATACACAGAAAGCTGGCTTGAGATGCTAACTGATAATCCTCTACTTCCTGCTCATTTCTACATCCCTAGAATTTACATAAAAGATATTTTCAATATTAACAAATCTATGCTCATTGTAAAAGATTCCAAGAATATAGAGGTATTTAAAATATAAAGCAAAAGTCTTCCGCTCTCCTCAGTCTTGCCCCCTCCCCTCCGGTCCAACTTCCCAGAGGCAACCAGTATTCACAGTTTGGCGTGTATCCTTCCAGCCCCTTTTCGAGGAGTGGGGTGTGGTAGGCACAAACAAGAGGGGATTCCCGCTCATATTCCCTGCACTGGGGAGCAGCCACACCTCCCCAGCATATCCTGATGCCATTAGGGTGAGTCCCTCTGCCCTGTCTCCCCCTAGACCACATCCAGTGAGAACATGAGGGACTTTGCCACAACCTTAAAGAACAAATTCCGCTCAAAGCATTATTTCAGCAAACACCCTCAGCGAGGTTATCTGCCTGTGCAATCAGTGCTGGAGGCCGACTACAGTGAGACGTGAGTACCAGCGGCTGAGCAGGGGCTGTGGGCAGCCTCGCTGAGCCCAGGGATGTGCTGTGAAGGGACTGAATCCCACACAGGCTAGGGGAGTGTTCCAGGGCAAACCTGACTAGTGACATGGCAGTTCAGCTGGGCCTGACCAGGAATCTGGCCTGAGAAATAAACTGGATTCCAATCTCTGTATCCTGTTCCCGTCAGCTCTTGCCCATCTCTCTCTAATTTGGGGTGGGGGTGGGGGGTGGAGGGAGCATGGTGGCGAGGAGACAGGCTGCCCAGCCACACAGTCTTTGGTCCTCTGAGTCTTTGCTGCTTTCTTCTAGGCCGGCTTCTTCCCCGATGTTGCCACACGCTGACACGCACTCCCGCATTGAGCATTTTGCCAGCAGGTACCACCAGGTTTGGGGGAGGGAGATTTTAAGGAGTCTAAGGGGAAAGGGCTTTTCAGTCAGAGCAAAGAGCATGGAGTCAGGACCAGGGGATGTGCACCGTGAGGTATGCCGCAGCCAGCGAGGCCCGACACCTAGGGGTGGTTGGGGCAGCCCCCAAAGCTAACGACCATATTAGGGGATTAGAGCCCTTGAGATGAAAGCAGGCTTCCCATCCCGCTTTCCCTTCTGTTCCTGTTCTTTCTTTCCAGGCTTGCTGAGATGGAAAGTCAGAATTGCTCCTTCTTTAATGACAGCCTGTCCCCAGATGACAGCATGTGAGTTTTCACAGCTGCTTATTTTCCAGGAATAATTCTCCTTGGGATCCCTCTGCCGCCATTTGGGAAGGCTATATCCTCAAAGGGAGGGAGGGTGTGGTGGTTAGGGCCCTTGACATCTTAAGGAAGGAAGGGTGCTTTCTGGGCACAGTGTTTAGTAAGACAAACAATCTCTGCTATCTATCAACTGAGCTGGGGAATGAATGATGGACCACCTCTCTGCCATCTGCCCAGGTCCCTTCCTTCTGCAGGATCCCATCCTTCTATGCCCAACTTTGAGGAAGAAGAATATGCCCTCATCTAAAGGGCAGAAATGAGCCATTATTCTATGCTCAAGATGCCAATGCCCCATCTAGTGCCACACCTACTCTTGGGAGTCACCAGGGTCTTGACTGAAGTGTGGCCAGAGAGATTCCTGGATGCTACAGCTCAGAGAAGGGGCCCTTCATCTTTAGGGAGGTCCCTGACCTGCTCAGAGGGCCTAGGAGCTGCCGGCTACATGGGTCAATCTGGCCCTGACTGGAACTCAGGCAGGAAATGGTCCCCCTGAGGAGTGAGGGAGTGAAGGGGGGCGAGGTGGAGGATCATCACAGAATGGGAAGTGATTTGCTCATTGTTTCCCAGGGAGCTTTAAGTAGAACCCAGAAGCCCCAGCATCCTGAAAACACTCTCTCCTAGTACCGCCAACCATGTCCTCTGCTGCCTTTGAACACTTTCATCCCTCTTAAGCCTGACTACATGGCCTTTCCCTTTCTATGTGACTTAGAAGTGAATCCTCCAGCATGTGTCTCCTGGGGCCTGAGCTGGGAGCTGGAAACTCATGCCCTGAGCTGTTTCTTGGTTCAATGCCTGGCCACCTCCTTTCCTCTCCCTACACCCATGCAGAGATGAGGACCAGTACCTGCTGCGGCACTCCAGCCCCATTACAGACCGAGAGCCAGGATTCGGACAGCAGGCTCCGTGCAGCATGGCCACAGAAAGCAAGGGGGAGCTAGAGAAGATCCTGGCTCACTTAGAGGATGAGAACAGGTGGGTGTGCCGATGGCACAGATCTGTGTGGGTTCTAGAGTCAGACAGCTTGAATTCAATCCTGGCACCTCCACATCCTAGCTATATGGCCTCGAACAAGTTACGTATATTCTGTAATCCTCTATTTCCTCATCTGTAAAATGGGGATGATGATAATAGTATCTACCTCCTAGGGTCACTAGTGAAGATCCAATGATCAGGCATATAAATGTATTAGCTAGTACCTGGCTTATAGTAAGAGTTCAATAAATGTTAGCTATTATAATAATTATTTGAGCCATTTTAATTCAATCCAAATATTTCCAAGTGCCCACTAGATACAAGCAGAGAGAGTCCAGAAGAGAGTATGACATTTCCCTGCCCTCCAGGAACGTTCAGTATTGGAACAGAAAGGGATACTCATCACTTAGTGACAGTAACAGAAGAGGAGGATGACACTACATGGAGTGAAGGAGGACTGGAAGAGGGAAGGTGAAGAAGATTACAGGGATGGCATTCATCTCCATGAAGTACGGGTGGCAGCAGGGGCCTGAGTAGGGTCCAAGTCCCTTTGGGGACAGGCAGAGAAATCCACAGTATCCCTCAGAACAGTGTTTCTCAAACATTAGTGTGTCCAAGGCACTTGGGGAGCTTGGTAAAATGCAAATTTTGATTCATAGGTCTAGGGTGGGGCCTGAGTTCTTGCATTTTTTTTTTTTTTGAGGAAGATTAGCCCTGAGCTAACATCTGCCACCAATCCTCCTCTTTTTGCTGAGGAAGACTGGCCCTGAGCTAATATCCATGCCCATCTTCCTCTACTTTATACATGGGACGCCTACCACAGCATGGCGTGCCAAGCGGTGCCATGTCTGCACCCGGGATCCGAACCGGCAAACCCTGAGCCATCGAAGTGGAACGTGGGCACTTAACCACTGCGCCCCCGGGCTGGCCCCTAGTTCTTGCATTTTTAACCTGCTCCCAGGGGATGCCCATGCCACTGACCCATGGCTCCATGTACTTGGAGTAGCAAGTCCTTCGAACAGGGCCAGTCCGCAAAGTGTTTGTTACTGGTTCAAGACAAGATAAATACAGAAATAGAGAGTAAGCTTTTAGAAACTTTTGTAGCAATTTGACATTGCCATGACATCCAAGCACATAATTAGTAAACTTGTCTTCATTAAATAAGGTATAGAACAGTTTGAGTGTTGTCGTGGCAAGTCACGTGTGGTGTGAGCTGCATACTAGCCATGAGCATTTGGACCACGTATTGATCCACGATGGATTAAAAATCCCCCTAGTTTTCCAGCACAGGTAGTTTGAGAAGCTCTGCATTAGAGCAGCAGTGGGAAGGCCCTGGGAAACACGGGGGAGAGGGAGAGAGTGATTCTGTTGCAAAAAAGAAAAAGCAGTGTCCCCCAAAGTAGACCATCTCTTTGGAATGTTTCCTTGATGACTCAACATGAGTGTTCAAAGTGGGCCGAAGAGGAGGGTAGTGAAGAGCAGAGGCAAGATGGGTGATCTTTTGCTTGTGTTATATCTTCCCCTGGAATCTGAAAATCTAAAAATGGAGATGAGTCAGTGGCCCTAATGCCTCATTTATTTGCAGACTGTGTTTCTGCCTGATTTTAAGGTCAAAATTAATCCCAGAAGCAGCACATCAAAGCCCTGAGACATTTGTTATATGAAATGTCAGCTCTCTCTGCTCCAAGGCCTAGGATGGCAGAGCAAATGATATGTGTGCTGGAGAGGAAGTAGATATGGCCATTCAAGCAAGAACATGGCTGATGGGGGGATGGGAGAGCACAGGGATTGCTCATACCTAGATATGAGCGGACATCTGGGACCTAGACACTCAATACCCCATTAAGACCACAGGTCTTGGCTTCTCTATCCTTGGCAGGATTCTCCAGGGAGAGCTGAGGCGCCTGAAGTGGCAGCATGAGGAGGCTGCTGAGGCACCTACCCTGGCTGATGGCTCTGCCGAGGTGGCACAGGACCACCGCAATGAGGAGCTTCTGGCTGAGGCGCGGATCCTTCGTCAGCACAAGAGCCGCCTGGAGACACGCATGCAGATCCTCGAAGACCACAACAAGCAACTAGAGTCCCAGCTGCAGCGCTTAAGGGAGCTGCTCCTGCAGGTGAGGCTGGAGCCAGGAGAAGGACCAGAGCAGCCCCTGAGCATGGGGACAGGGGTGGGGAGGGTTCTCCTTGGCGTTGGCTGTTAGATGACTTTCTGAAGAGAATTAGCCTGGCAATTGGGAAGAGCGGGGGAAGGAAGGGGCTGGTATGTCACATTGCTTGGCCAGCTCTCTTCCACCTAGCTTCCACTCCACTGTTGTGTGTTACTCTCAAGCCACGGTGGGGCCAGGGGCAGAGGGAGGACTTCTGAGGGCTCCCTTCTCCACAACCCATTTGAATCCAGTATTGAAAGAACAAGTTCAAAGAATCATCCAAAACATTGATTTTGCTACTTTGATGTTTGCTGGACAGAAGCAGGTTTGGACACGCTTGGCAAGAGAAAAATTTTTGCTGTGAAGGGAACTCTTGTTACTTCTTGTCCCTTTCTTCTTTGAGGGGTGGTGTATATGATGTAGCGTGGCTCTGGAGTCAGACAGCCCTGGGTCTGAACGTGGCACTGCCAATTAATGGCTGTGGAGTGTTAGGAAAGCTACTTAGCCTCACTAAGCCCCAGTTCCCTCATCTGTCAAACAGGGATAATAACATACCAACTCGACGGAATTGCAGTAAACACAAAATGAGACAACGCATTTAAAGAATTTAGCACAATGCCAGGAATATAGTAAAAACTTCATAATGTTTCCGATTATTGTCATTATACGTGCCAAGTAATATCAGCCCCTGCTCTTCCCTGGATGCTCTAACCAATGGCCTCTAGAGACCTGGAGGTCTCTAACATGTGATGTTATGTTATGAACTGAGGATGAGGTGTGCCACTTTACATTTCCACCCAGAATTGGTTTCTGAATAGCTTAATTATAGCTGAAATGACCTTTAGGTGTAATGCCATCCTTGTAAGAACTGGGAGCCTTTGACGCGTGTTGTTGAAGGAAGAAGGTAATTGGTAATTAAATACTCCAAGAAGCTTCCTAAAAGGGGAAGCCGCTGTTTGGGGGCACTACCAAAAGCTTCTTAAAGTCCAAGGGCAAACAGATGGGCATGAGGTCTTTAAGTTCCCTTCTAAGTTCAGGAGTCTGTCAAAGTAAGGTCAGGAAGGCCAAGCCACTTAAGTCATGCCTTTCCTCTTGCTAGCCACCCACGGAATCAGAGGGCAATGGCTCTGCAGGCTCGTCCCTAGCTTCGTCTCCACAGCAGTCAGAAAGCAGTCATCCTCAGGAGAAGGGACAGACGACTCCAGACACTGAGGCTGCAGGTGAGTTCCCTGGCTCTCCAAGTCCCTTTCTTTACGGCTTTGTCTTGCCCCGGATCTCCTGCCCAATCTTCTTGGAGAGCTGGGATGGTTTCTCCTCACAGCTTTGAGCTTAAAGTCAGGGATGTTTGGCTTATTGACTGATTCATTCATTCATTTATTCCACAAATGTATATTGAGCACCTTGTATGTATTAGGCATTGTGCTAGGAAGATACACATGCTTTAAGTTTGCCCTTCAGCTGGCTGTGTCCTACCTCAGCCCCTTGGCCTCATAAGGGAATGTCTAGTTCTCTTCCAAAATCTCTCTTTTCCAACTCAGATGATGTGGGGTCAAAGAGCCAAGATGTCAGCCTGTGCTTGGAGGACATCATGGAGAAGCTCCGCCATGCCTTCCCCAGTGTGCGAAGCTCTGATGTGACTGCCAACACCCTGCTGGCCTCTTGATGGAGCCAGATCCCCATCCTATAGGCCACGGTCCTCTCCCAGTTCTGGTCAAAGCCTTCCCTCAGCCTTCGCCCGACCCTTCCAGTCCCCACTGGCCCCACATTCCTCAGCCAGAGTTATTTGGGCTCTGGGTAGTAGCAGGGATCTGGTGGTATGTGAGGTGTGTGTGGGGGAGGGCCCGGGGTGGGAGAGGGATGATTCCTCTGACTCTAGAAGTACACCCTTTAGTCTTCAAGTTTGAGACGGGTCCCTTAAGTCCGCTTCTGTTGCAGCCCAGGCAAATGGCACTCGGAGGCCGTTCACATGGGGAGCAGAGAAGCTGCCTCGCAGAGTGAGGCAATGCCCTTTTCCCTTCTCCGTGTAATTATGGAGATTGGGAAGCCTAATGACCGCAGGGTTCTAGCATCATGAATCCACAGGAGTTAGCCCTACTCTCTGGCCCAACTCAGGGAGGCAAAAGGGAATTTTGGAGACAACCCTCCCCGTCAAAGTGCCCCTGAAAATGTCTGGGCAGTGTGTGCCATGTTACTTCAGCTCGAGGGCATGTCTCTAGCCATCCTGATGCTACCTAGGTGTTTTGTCCTCCTCGGATATCTTCAGTTCCTTCTGCCTCAGTCCCTGGCAGACCTTCCTCAAGGGGAGAACAGTTCATTCTGGTTCCTACTTCTACCTTACATTTGGAAACATTAAAGAAATACTCATGGGCTTAGATATTTTTCCCTGATCTTCCTCTTTCCTGAAGGCCTCAGCATCCTGAGAGACCAGCTGAGTTGTTCTGGGAACCCAGCTGAAGCCACCCTTGGCTCTTCTGAGTCTGCCCTCACAGCCCTGGGGGAGGGGCAGCAGCTTGATCAGCAAGGCGGGGGGTCTTCCTCTCCTTGGGCGGGGAAGGGGAAGCACCCTCTAGGTCTGGAGGAGTGTGACTGCCCAACACCCTTGCAGGCTGTGACCCTTCTTTCTCTTAGGCTGAACCCGATGAAGTGGCTGATTGCCCCCAGCTAATCATAAGGCAGATGCAATGGGCCAGCCTCAACAGCGGCCCCTTCCTAGGAGTCACTGGCCCCGAATCAGGAAGCTGACCACTTTCCACTTAGACAACAGCAAGGCCTTCCTTTGCATAAAACTGTTCTTTCTAACTCTGGAAGGCAAACCCAGTCCTCAAACTGAACTAACTCTTCCTAGGCAACATATATCACGATCCCTTTATCCAGATACTGTTCAGAGTAGACAGCAGGGGTTGGGGGAGTGGGCTTGAGAACTTTGAACAGAGTCAGAGGCCACTTAGCCAGCTTTCTATCAAAAGGAGCTTTATAACCTAGAGCCCTGCAATTGACTTAATTTGACTAAGTTTACATACGTACATATCTATGCTACATATTTACTGTACATCAGTACTCCCCTGGCCTCACTCACACATTAAATTCTAATACCTCTTAAAATATTAATGTTCTGCCTTGCTCTTTGTTAGCCCCAGCCTCTGGTTGGACGGATAGATGCATCCTGGCTGCTCCCCTAGGCTGTCTCTCCATTCATGTTTGGGGTGAGCTGTGCTCAAGACCAAAGCAAGAAAAGCCTGTGGCCACAGAGGAGTCTAACAGGAAGAGTCACTCTGTTCTCTTCATTCGCTCCAAATCTTGTTCCCTTGAGACCTGGGACTTGGATGAATTTTCCTGGGCTCCTCTAAACAATGGTTCAGGTGCTAAAATAGAACAAATCCAAGCTCTACTCACCCTATGCAGCAAAGAAGGAATAAATAGGCTTCTATTAGCCTTTGCCAAGCTAACACACAGAGTACATATTCTGGTCCCCTCCAATTCCTGTCTGGCTCAGGGCCTTAAAGAAAGCAGCGGTTGCCACCAAGGTCAGGAGGGTGTGAGACGATTGAGGTGTTGTGTTATAATTGAGCAGTGGGCCAGTGGGTAGAGCTCCTGAGAAGCTGGATTTATCTCCTGCAGGGGAGGGAGGGCAGTGGCTTGGGTCCGGAAGTCTAGGATTGCCTCCTTCTAGTATCACCGGGGGGGCACTAAGCCACAGGTCCAGGGTGTCAGACCTCAACACAACATCTGCCTTAGAACTCACGAGGTCTCTGGGTGGGAGAACTGGGTATCTGGATGTATGGCGAGCAGGTGGTAGGCAAGCATCAAACACAGAGCCTAGGCATCAGTCAGTGGGGTGGGGGGAGCTCTATTCGCAGGGGCCTAGGTTGTGGGCGGGAATGGGATAGAAGAAATTTGCTATAGGACAGAGAGCTCAGGGTCTTTGAAGCATATGCCTGCTAAGCCTTAGGAGGGCAGATGTTATGAAACAACCTTTGACCAGGAAAATCCTGGAAAATCTTTTCTGTAACCCCAACTCCACCTGAGAGATCTTGGACTGTTGAGGGCCTGTGGCAGCCGCAGTGGGCCATGGTAGAGAAGCTGTAGATCTTGTTATGTAGGATTTGTGCTGTAGGTGGACCGAGGCAGCAAGTCAAGAGTTGAATTCTCACTAACAGGGTCACTGACACTTTGGGGTCCTGCGTTTACCTTAATGCCGGAGAGGAGTATATCACTCAAGGGTCCAGTGATGTCACTGCAGAGCAGGTGTGGGCAGTTTGTCCTCAGTGAGGTAAACGGATCTTTGGGCACTGTGAATCCAAATTAGGGTGGGATTTACTGAGATGTGTTGTATGTTGTTAGGCATCTGTCATGTATCGTGTCTCCTAGAGGTATTGTGTACGATGTGGGTAGTTTATGGCCCTGTGCTGGAAGGGTGGTGAAGGGAGTTGCTGGGTAGGCAGCCTAACGAAAACCTCTGCCTTGTGGGATTAGCATCAGCGATAAGGAATGTGAGCATTTGCTGGAGTCGTCAAACAGTATCAGGGAACAGTTAGGGTGGATAGGCGATTTCTTCTCGGCAGAATCAGATAGAGGCCAAATGCCATTATGAGGGTGCCTCTGCTCCCAGCAAAAGCAGAGTGGAGTCATGTTGACTGGGAAATTATTAGGGAAGGCTGACTGGCTGGAAGACATCGAGTATTTGCTGTATGGTTCCCTAGGAAGGGTCCTACCCAGGAGGACATGTGCCCTTCCCTCCAGAATGGAAAGGCAGAAATCAAAGCTCACAAATGCTCATTTGCTTCAAGGCCCAAAGTTTGGAGATATTTCTCTGCAGAGAAACCTGTTTGAGTTTCTATGCTCCAGGAACCGGGCTGGCAGGAGGCAGTAATGAGAAACCCTGAGGCCAGGCCGAAGCCAATCCTGGGAGATGTTGTCCCTCCAGATTAATTTTAAGAACTACTCATGCTGCCTGAGGTGTGTGTTTGGGATCTGGGCTCCATATCTAGCTTCAGGTTAGAGCATTCCTTGAATACACCTTCTCAATGGCAGATTTATGGTCTCCCAGACTACTGCAGGCCAAGAATTTTATCAGAGTTTCTTGACACGGGTGACAGTAACCACGAAAGTAGCTGCCTTAAGACGAACAGTCCTGGGGGAGAAACTGGGAGCCCTGCCCTAGGGCTGTGGAAACTTAGCTGCTCAGCTGGGCAGCTCTATCTCTGGGCCTCGCTGCCAAAATCCGGCCCTGAGAACAAAGAAATACTTCAGCTCCTTCTTATTCTCTTGACACCAGTGGCTGTAGGAGAGGGAAAGGCTCAAGGCCAGGGCTCAGCTCCCAGCCTCTATCTCCTCCCACAGCTGCCGCCTTTGGGGGGGACCTGCTGAATGTCCTTGCTGTCCTCAGGACAGCACTGAAGCCAGACTGAAACCTGCTATGCTGCTCGCTGGCTGCAAGAACTGGTCACGAGGATGAGAGTTGGGGAAGGGATTGGGGGGAGGTGGCAAGGGTGGCACACGAGTCTAGAAAAGTTTGGGATGAAGGGGTGGGGCTGGGAACAAATTGGTTAACTTTGCCACTCACTGTGGTGCTTTTCCCCTTTCTCTTGAATTCTGCTTTGAAAAGAATAAATTTGTATTTGTTTACTTTGGGTCCTCTGGTTATACTCTTTGACTCTGATATTCTACATCCTTCCCTTTTTTGGGTGTGGGAAGAGAGGGTGGGCCAAGAAGCCACAGGAGCACTGCAAACTGTCGGCTACCAGATGAGTCCACCAGCTACTGAGCAAAAAGACACCCCGCTAGCCCCGTCCACCCCTGTCACCTGGAGCGGTTGCCTCTCAAGGCCCCACACAAATTAGTTTGTTGTCTCCTCATGGGATGAGCTCTCTATAGCAATGGTTCTTAAATACCATCCTCGTCAATCTGAGGAATTTTTCACCAGCCTGAAGCAATATGAGAGAAGTCAGGACAATGTGGCGAATTTCCATAAAGTTACACTTATTCAATTTAAAAGTCTATCCTTTAGATTTAGATTATAGATATATATATATATGTGTGTGTGTGTGTTAAAATGTCCCTGTGAATTGGTGGTGACGGTTTTTAAAAATTCCATTTTCTGGCAAAATAAAACCCTGTCAATCCTGCTTTCCTACTACCAATTTTTCTTTTCTCACCAATCTATAACACCACTGTCCAATAGAAATATAATGTGAGTCACATTTGCAATTTTAAATTTTCTAGCAGCCATATTAAAAAAGCAAAAATAAAAAGGTGAAATTAGGAGCTAGCTCCGTGGCCCAGTGGTTAAGCTTGCGCTGTCTGCTTCGGTGGCCCAAGGTTTCGCCAGTTCAGATCCCATACGGTTCGGATCCCAGGCACGGACCTAGCACCGCTCGTCATGCCGTGATGAGGCGGCGTCCCACATAGCACAACCAGAAGGACTTACAACTAGAATATACAACTATGTACTGGGGGGCTTTGAGGAGAAGAAGAAAGGAGCGGGGTAGGGGGGAGGGGAGGGGAAGAAGGAAGAGGAAGAGAAGAAGAAGGAGAAAAGATTGGCAACAGATGTTAGCTCAGGTGCCAATCATTAAAAAGAAAAAAAAGAATTTGCTTTCCAAAAAGAAAAAGGTGAAATTAATTTTAATTAATATATTTTAACCCAACATATCCAAAATATTATCATTTCAACATGTAATCAGTATAAAACAATGAATAAGATCTTTTATATTCCTTTTTATTTTTTTTCACTGAGTCTTAGAAATTGTCAAGCAGGCTGACAGATTCAGCTGGTAAAGAAACAAGAAACCCACATAGTCCAGGCAATTTATTACTTGTAGAGACAGCAAAAGCAAATCAGCAATGCTATCAGCTCCCTGCGTCCCGTGTCTCACAGGGCAACACTGAAACAAAAGACGCCAGCTGACATGCAACATGAACGATGGGACTCCCTGTGGCTGAGAAGGGAGTCCACGCTGCCGCTAAGCAGTTCATGGCCTGCAGCCGTGCCCTTTGGCGGTGGGGGCAGGCAGAAAGGCCCAGGCCTCACCAGAACGAGGGAGGCAGATAAGAAACTGCCTCACCACAGCCTCCCTCAAGAGAAGAGGGTCAGAAATGGTCTGATAGCTCCTCCTGAGACCACCTGTCTTTCCATGTTCCCATGTTCCCATGTTCTGAGAGGATCACAGGGCACCCCGCCAAGGCCTGGGGGAGTCTGCAGTTGAGCTTTGCCTATGCGGCCTATGTAGACAGTGCAGTTCCCCTACAGAAACCAGGTGTATATTTTACACTTATGGCCCACCTCAATTTGGGCTAGCCAGATGTCAAGCGCTCAAAAGCCACACACGGCTGGTGGATACCACATCGGACAGTGCAGGTCTATAACATGCAAGAGTCAGAATCACTGGGCTATAGAAAAGGAAAACTCCCAGAGGTATCATGTGTGTGGGGTGACCAGAGGGCAGTGGTGAGGCGGCTAGCCGGGGTTACAGTGAGGTGTGGTGGCAGAGGAACAGACGGGCACTGCAGACGCGCGGATTCACCCCTGCCCCGTCCTGTCGTCTCGCCATCCGCCCCGCCTCTCAGCACAGCTCTGGCTGTTCTTGGGCTGCAGTATCAAACAGAGGCTGAGCGCCGGCTCTTCTACGTCTCTCGCCCCTGGATGCCACCTGGGGCACATGTGCCACCCTCACTGGCCTGTCTCTCCAGCCATGTCCCCAGGGTACTTTTTATCTGTTTCTGCTCCAGTCCTCTGCCTTCCTTCATCTGGAAAGGCCTATCTTCTTTTCAAACCCTGCCTCTTCGCCCACCTTCTGCCTCCGACAGTCAATTCCTTTTCCCCATTCTCTCTTTTAAATTCCCAGTTTCTGAAAAAAAGACTCCTTTTTATATTATCTTGGTTTTCAAATTGTCCTCTAAATTCTCTCCTCATCTTGACTTCATTTTGTTTGCCCTTGTTTATCTCCCTTAGTCCCACTTCTTCCCTGCATTTGCCCTGAGCATTCCTTCTGCCTTCATCCCTCCTCTGTAGGCCCTGCCCGTACATATTGACCTCTTCTTCTCTGCCCTTGGCTTACTAACTTCAACTTGGAATGGGAGCATAAAAGTGGCCCAGAAAACTTGGGAGTACACTTCTTAGAGTAGCACCAACTTCATCATTTGGGACTAGAGCTGGGTCTAGATGGGTTACTTCCAGAAAACCCTCAGGTGCCTCTTGGTGATAAGCATTATCACCCTTGATTTCCAGATGAAGAAACAGGCTCTAAGAGGTGTAGGGACTTGCCCAAGGTGAGTGGCAGAGCTGGGATTCCAAGCTTGTGTTCATTCCTCTGCAACATAATTCACTGCAAACACTGGAGCTGCCATTTTTACCACTTTTCTATTGGTGGTGTTAGTGCTATCGAGTCGCTTCTGATTCCTAATGACGTCGTGTACAGCAGAGCAGAACCCTGCCTGGTCTTTTTTTTTTTTTGAGGAAGATTAGCCCTGAGCTAACTACTGCCAGTCCTCCTCTTTTTGCTGAGGAAGACTGGCCCTGAGCTAACTTCCGTGCCCATCTTCCTCTACTTTATATGTGGGATGCCTACCACAGCACGGTGTGCCAAGTGGTGCCATGTCCACACCCAGGATCCGAACCAGCGAACCCCAGGCCGCCGAGAAGTGGAACGTACAAACTTAACCGCTGCGCCACCGTGCTGGCCCCCTGCCCGGTCTTTTGCGCCATCCTCTCTCTCACGTTTCAGTGCTGTTTCAGACAATGCTCCACCTATTCATAGGGTTTTTATGGCCAATATTCTTGGACGTGGGTGGCCAGGTCCTTCTTCCTAGTCTTTCTTAGTCTGGAAGCTCCTCTGAAACCTGTCCACCAAGGGTGACCCTGCTGGTATTTGAAATAGTGGTGGCACAGCTTTCAGCATCACAGCAGCACACAGCTGCCACAGTATGGCAACCGACAGATGCGTGGTGTGTTTCCCTGACCGGGAAATGAACCCGGGCCATGGCGGTGAGAGCATCGAATCTTAACCAGCAGACCACCAGGGCTGGCCTCATTTCTCTATACCCTCTCTCAAAATCCCAATGCTATATGGTTAACATGAGATGATTTGCTTAGTTCCTTAGGAGTTATCCTAAGAGCTCTTTAGAAGGATGCCCCAGTACTGACAGCACCTTCTGTCATTTCCTAATCATAGTTTATTGCTTGTCTCTCCAGTTTCCTTTTGGATGAGTGTATGCATCATGGGAGCGCTTTAATAAAGTGACAGTAATCCATTTAAAATGAAGAATTTATTTATTGCTTAAAGAATACAGACTATAAAACCTTAAAAATACAGCTGGAAAAAACAAACCCACCCAGGGTCTTCAAGGTGAAGTCTTCACAGGCATCGCAGGCATCTGGTTTTTCCTAACCTTCTCTGAGAGGGGCTAGGATGAAGAGGCTCAGAATAAAGGTAGCAGCTCGGAATTTCATCTCTGCTCATCTGGCTATTCCCTTAGCAGACAAGTAACAACCAGACACAGTCCTAAAGACATAACAGAGCAAAGATGGCAGCAGCAAGAAATCATCCCTGAGCAGGAAAGCGGCCCCATGACCTGAGCAGAGGACACAGCTTAGTATTGCCTGCTGTGAGGTAGGCACTTAAATTCACTGTGGCAGGGCCTGGCCCTTGGTACAAATGAGTTGATTTGTTCTATGTTTTAAGAAATATTTAAAACAGAAGAAAGAAAAGCTAAAACATATGCAAAACAGCCTGTACGGCCTTTAGGCTAGACTGTCTGCCTTTGGCAAACATGGCTGAATCATCTGATGACACCATCGACCAGAAACAATGTAAGTAATTCTCAAATTAATGAAGAGAAGCAAAATCTCATAGTTAAGTTGGATCTTTAGGCCTACTACTTTTTTATATCTGTCGCTTTCTACAGGAGCACAAACTTCAAATATAACTAGCAAGAAAAGGTTCAGAGAAACAGATACAAATGATCCAACGTGAGGAAATAAAGGGAACAGAAACATGCGCAGTTTCATCCAGTCTTCAGTCTGGATGGTGAATCCAAGGTTTCTGCCCCAGGCTGAAGGGTCTCCTCACTTCTCCAGAAGATATTTCAATTGGTCCCGCAGGGAAATAAGCTATAGAGAGAGGCAGCAACAACATGAAAAATCCATCTGAAATCTTAAGTCCCATTACTTGATCCAGAATTTACTTACATGAATGAAAAAGAACTACTGTAATTTTGCATTTACTAGATTCTCTTAGTCTTGCAATGTTCCAAAGAACAGGGCTGCAGTCAAGAGCGCACCCACGAGGCTGCAGCCAGGATGCTGTCCTTTATTATGCCAAACTTATAAAAGGAGGCCTTTAAAATTGAATATGCTTAAAAAATGGAATATGCTTGCTGTTAAGAAACTGTACCTCTGGGGAAGAGTGGGCAGAAGTCACAGCTCACTGTAGGGACAAAGGAAATGGGATCACTGTAGCCATATTGTAAGAGTTAGAAGATAAAGCCGTCGGGATAGCCTCTGCACACTGGATCTTAAACTGCATCTTAGTTGCTGCTTCTTGCCATGTTGAGACACCCGGAAACCAGGTCAGAGTCCTGACCAATTAGGAGCCTGATGATGTTCGACTTATCCTGATGCTTTCTAAGTCAGAAGCCCTGAACCTTTTGTGGTGTAGGATTTTTTTTTTTAACTTGAAATGACAAAGTGACCAATAACATTCAGAGAGGTATACTGTTTCTGGGAAAAGATTGTTTTTGACTATTATTCAAATATGGTCACTCCATACCAGTTTGGATTTTCCTTCTGTGAAATGAAAGGAATGGAGCATTAGAAAATGATTCTACGCTGCCGTCACCTACTGAATTGCTCTCATTGCCAACTACGGTAATTTAAAGGCTCTTTTCACTCAGATGCTGACCATGATGACAACCACTGACTGTCTCAGTTCTTTCTCCTATGTGGGCTCTTTTTCTTCCCACCACCCACTAAAGAGAAATTTTTCCCTGGGTTCAGACTTCTTGCTAAACAGTCAACCTGGCTAACTCATCTAGCCCCACAGCTTCAATGATCGCTTCTAAGCATGAGCCACTCTCCAGTCTTCCATTTTCAAAAGCACTTCCAACTCAACATGCTTCCCACTCAACACATCATCTTCTCCATCCTCCACCCCCAGTAATCCTCTTCCTGTCGTCTTCATTTCTGTTAGTGGCACACCATTTTCCAGTGAACCAGGCTTTGGACTCCTCTTTGTTCCCTTTTTTTTGCCCTGTAAATCCAATCAGTAGTTAAGCTCTGATTCCTTCTATCACTTGCATCTTCCTCTAGTCTCTCCCACTCCAATTTCTCCTATTTGCTGCTGGCAAAGAAATGTTCCCGAGTTACTGCCCAGGGAAAAAGCTTTGATGGCCCATTATGACCTACACCAAAAATCTAAACTCTTTACCCTGGCATCACCACTTCTGCGCCATTGTGCATGCTACTTTCTATACAGAATGCCCTCCTTTCCCTATCGCCTTATTAAAACCCTATCCACCTTTTAAGGCCCAGTCAAACACCATCTCTCCATGAAGTCTTCCCCAATCTCCATGGACAAAAGTGAGCTCTCATTCCCTTAATTTCCTATCCCTCTCATGGATCTCTCTCCAACTGGAGGCAGACTGTGTTGCAAGCATTTATTGTTCCCTGCAGAACCTAGCTTAAAGTAGGCACTCAAGAAATCTACACTGAATAAAGGAGCTAATATAAAGGGCTCTAAGTGAGTAAACTTTACACATATATTTCTATGTTGAAAATAGCACTCCCCAATACTAACTAGCCAGCCCTGGTGGTCTAGTGGTTAAGATTTGGCACTCTCACTCCCATGGTGCCAGGTTTGGTTTCTGGTCGGGGAACCACACCACCCAGCTGTCGGTTGTCATACTGTGGCAGGTGCGTGTTGCTGTGATGCTGAAAGCTATGTCAACAGTATTTCAAATACCAGAAGGGTCACTCATGGTGGACAGGTTTCAGCAGAGCTTCCAGACTAAGAAAGACTAGGAAGAAGGACCCAGCAACCCGCTTCCCGAAAAATTGGCTATGAAAACTCTATGAATAGCAGTGGATCATTGTCTGATACGGTGCTAGAAGGTGAGAGGATGGCGCAAAAAGACCAGGCAGGGTTCTGCTCTGCTACACACAGGATCACTAGGAGTCGCAATCGACTGGACAGCACTAACAACAAAAAATACTAACTACTTCCATGGATGAAAACAAAGACGTTTAGTGGGTGCTAAAGTAATCTTGGTATTAGCTGTTCCCATGATTGTTTATAAGCGGTACTTGGATAACTGATTTGCTGAGGGGAAGGAAGGTACAGAACATAAGAAATCCCCAGACCTTGTTGGGATGGGGCTGGAGACAGGGGATGGCATCTCTACCTTAAGAGCCCCATGCTAACCCCATCCTCATAACATGACCTCCAGTCTCTTTTAAATTGTTGCTCTCAACAGTACAGGGCTGGAGTCAGCAGACATTTTCTACACAGCTACTTGACCCTCACTTATCCTACGCTGCCCTCTTTTCACTCCGCTCACTCTCTTGTGGCTATCAATACAGTCATTCAAGTTAGAAATCTGGCATACTTCCTTAACGCTTCCTTCTTCAACACCCAGTGACTGACCCAAGTCCCATCAATTCTACCTTTAAAATACATTCTCTCGTATATGAATGTTCGCAGCAGCATAATTCATTATAGCCAAAAAGTGGAAACAATCCAAATATCCTACAATGAATGGATAAGCAAAATATGGGATATCCACACAATGAAGTATTATTCAGCCATAAAGTGGAATAAAGTACTGATACATGCCACAATATGGATTAATCTTGCAAACGTTTGCTAAGCCAAAGAAGCCAGACACAAAAGACCATCCACGTTTCCTTTTCTATGAAATCACCAGAGAAAGCAAAGTAGGCTGGTAGAAAGTAGATGAGTGGGTGCCTAGGGCTGAGGGGGTGAGAGGAATTCAGAGGAAATGGGGAGTGACTGCTAATGGGTACAGGTTTTTTGGGGGGTGATGCAAATGTTCTAAAATTGATTGTGATGATGGTTGCACAATTCTGTGAATATACTAAAAGCCACTGAATTGTACAATTTAAATGGGTGAATTTTACGGTATGTTAATTATACCTCAATAAAGCTGTTATTAAACACTTTTATTGCAGTTAAAAATATACATATTCTTCCCATATCCATTGCCGCCACCTTAGCCCAAGTGACCATCATCTCTTATTAGACTACCTGACAGCCCCCCTGCTTGTAGTCCTGCCCTCCTCTAATCCATTCTCCAGATAATAATCAAGGTGATCTTGAAAAAGTTTAATAAATGTGACTCTCCTGCTTAAGTCTTCAAGGGCTTCCCATTGCACTGAAGACTAAAACCCACCCTCCTTCTCATGGCCTGCAAGGGACCACACAATACAGCTTCCGCCTACTTCTCCAACCTTATGTTAAGTCATTCTCTTCCTCAGAGGACCGCAGAGGTCCTCAAAGACGGCAAGTGCTTTCCCAAGTGGGCCTTGGCATATGCTCCACCCAGGAGGCTCTTCACCCCCTCTTGGCCTGAAGTCAAGGATACTTCAGGTCTCAGCTTAATTACCACTTCCTCAGAGAGGGCCATTACGATCCCCTCAATTTAATTCAGGACTCTCTTTATTCAAATAGCGCCACTGACTTTTTTTCCTTCACAGCACTTCTTCATGATATGCACCTTTCTATTTGTATGGTCATTTGTTTCCTGTCACTCTTCCCTACTAGACTGTTCGCCCCACGAGGACAGTTATTATGTCTGTCTTATTCAACAACACGCTATTACATCCGGTGCTTTTTACTTAACAGGCATTCAGTATCTGAGTGAATTTTCACAAAGACCTTGTTTCAATCTGCTACCCTCATTCAGAAGATTTGGTCACTATTATTCCTGTGAAAGAAACAGCCAGAAAGGAGACTGACAGTAGGGTGGGGGGAATTCCCTGCAGAAAATGTTTTCTGTTGATTTGAAAACACACTTCTCACCTGCTCACTTTTTTGTTTTTCCTCTATCTTAAGCCGCTCCAGTGCAGACTGTAAATGACTCTGGAAAACAAATTGTATAAATGATGAATGCTGAGTCTCAAAGGAAAAGAGAACCAAGAGAGACAGAGTTTGGCAAATAATTTGATAAGTAAGAAAACTGTCAGTTGTAACAAGAGCACTCTTTTTAAAGGATTTAGAGTATAAAAACTGCACCGCCTAACTAGAGGGCCATTCGATTTGATTTTATACACCCTACACAGCATTTTTTTATTGCCCTAAAATAAACAGTTGAAATGCCTTCGTGTTACCTTTCTCTAGTTTAGCACAAACCCTTTGACTGTGTTGAACAATTAAATAAACTGGCTTAGAATTTGGTGTTGACACCTTCATTTGCCTGCATTAGGGCAGAATATTACTATTCCCACCTAGTACTGCAAGCAACAATCATATGTATGTATCTTTCAAAGTGTATCCACATCTCTTATCTCACTTGGTTACTCTAAAGGACGACACTTTGAATAGGTATAGTTCTGTGTCAAGTTGCTCCTTCTTGATGACTACAGCTCTACAGAAAATTATATCCGGCAAGGAATTCTCCAGATGCTTCAGAATTTCCCTCACTAGAAAAAGGGAACCAAATATATCATAACATGTATTTTCCTTTTGTTGAAATGTGTATTAATAAAAATAAAGCTACTTATTCTTGTTCAACCATCCATCATAAAATTTAAAATGACTTTAGTTAATTCTCTTTCACTGCAATGAATACATTTTGGTACACGCAACAAGGTTCAATCTATGCCCTACCACTTCCTGTGGTCCTTGGCAAGTTACTTAACCTCTCTGAATTTCAATTCCTTATCTATAAAATGGGAATGACGACAGTACCTCTATTTCAGAGATGCGAGGACGGAATGAGATGATACATGTCAAATGCTCAGCTCTTTATGCACCTTTCACATAAGTAAGCGCTCAATATTGGTGATTACCTCAAGTCTCCTGGTCCCTTCACAAAAATGCTTATCATGAGATGATCAAAATTAGCCAGATAAAAAGAAATAGGGTTATCTTTTATTCAGGGTTTCTAAGAGGTTGTTTAGGTTCATGAATGAACAAGAATGCTGCAGAGACGACAGGAACGGAAACACAAAAATGGGATTATACCAGCTAACAAGAATTTACCTTGAGCATCAGGTTTTCCAATTTCATGATGAGCTTCTTCTGTCTTTCCGCTCTGTACTGAATCTCTCGGAGCTTTTTCTCCATGTAGTAAATCTGCTTCTGAATTTCCACAGCTAATAGAGACAGACAGAAACTTATGTATCTAAACACAGCCTAAACTAGTTGACTGAGATCCAAATCAACTAAAACTCCATTACACATCTGAACAACAGCTTCTCAAACTTCGCCTTGCATCTCACACGTGTTTAGAGTCAGTCTTGAGCACTGCCACTCACTCTGTCCCAACCCTTTGGTTTTTCCTCTAACTTACTTATTGAACTGGCTCCTTCCTTGGCCTCATACTGGTCAGATTCAATTAACTTGGCCTGTAGCTCCCTTTCCAGAGCCTCTTCATAACCATCTTCCTCATCTTCATCCTCATCATCCTCCTCTTCATCATCACTGTCACTGCTGGAATCACTGAACATCTCCCGAAGTGTATCACATTCTATTGGTTTTAAGCAAGAGGAAGTTAGAACTATCTGAAGCTTTTCCAATGACTCACTCTAGCTGCAATTATACTCCCTCCCCCTCAAATTCACTGGGTAACCAATGAATTTTATAAACAATTTTCTCACAGGAAGATTATCCCCTTCACAAAACAAGTACAGGAAATGCGAAACACTAACGTTCATTCACGTATTCAATGATCAAGACATTTAGAGAATCTAAGGGCCCATGGAAATCTATAATACCAGGGATGGAGGAGAGATTAGAACACCAATCTGAAACCCCTAAAGCACTGAGGGACCACTAAGAGAAAAGAAGGGCAAAGGAATCCCTTTCCTGTGATTGGCCGGGGAGTCTAGGGAGAATGGTCTGACACACAGCCGACACCTGCCCTTTCTGAAGCTGCTGCTTGGCCTTTATTAAGTTACCTGATGAGACACCACCCTGCTTATAGCCACTTATTCCTGGGGATGTCTCAAAGACAGGGATGAAGCCTTGACTATCTATTTCCTTAGTTCCATCTTCACCAATGACTTCCCATCCTGAAAACAGGGGCAGTCAAGGAAAAAGCAGAAAGAAAGGAGAAGGCACAGTTGAAAGGCAAGAGGGTCTCCGGCTGAAAGCGCTATTTAATTTAGTCCACTTCAGGCCATTTGGATCCGGATTCCTAGTACGGAGAAGTGCCTTATATTGAATTACACAAGTAAATAAATTTCTAGTCCCTGAATTTACTGTTCCTAGCTAGAAAGTAACATTTCCAAAAATCTGAAGTTCTGCACATCAAAATTGGCACACAAATACCAGAAGCGAGGACTTGCCAGGAAGTGCATATGGGGTGGGAGGGATGACACAGAAAACACTTAGTATAAAAGGATACGGGCACTGATGGCTTCGGCATCAGAACACAGCAGTTTTTTCACTTCCTTTTCCACATCAGGAGACTCAATGTACTGCACCGGAGCGGGAGAGAAGGGACTACCAGTAACATCATTTAACTCCCCGGGTTTTGCAGTAATGTCTTTATCCTGCATACAAATGAATTCAAATAATTAGGCCTCTTTAATATCCATCCAACCAAATTTCTACTGTAAGTAATACTGTTTATGGAGGAATTTTTGACCTGGGTCTAGATTTTTATACAGTAAGCTTATTTTTTTTTCCCAAATTACTTGAGACATTTAATCTTTTCAATTTGCAACTCTAGGTTAAAGACCTCTCTCAGAGGCACAACCTTTAGGTCTCAGTTATTAATTATTCGCCCTGACCCACAGTGGCAAAGAATTATAATTCCTTATTTGTTACTTAGAAACAATTTGGTTTAAAAGTCCAAATGCCCGGACGTCACTTCCCCACATCTTTATTATTAAGGATTTTCCTTTAAAAACTGGGTCTTAGTTACATGTTCTCCCTTAAATCCAGTTTTAGACAATCATCTCCACAGCAACCAATTCGTCATGCCACAAATAGAAATTAGAACTTTGAGGGGGAATAAGCAATTGCAAACAACTGCTGGTAAAAGTGAACTCCAGCTTGCAAGAAATGGCTTTTTAAATAACTATCAGACAAAAAAGCAGATTAGAATACACAGGGTCATTGGCCAAACTGTATCTTTTCCTCTAGGAGTTATCAAACAGTAAAGAAGGAATTCATTTTTCAGTGAATCAAATTCAGTGTATGCCTATGGGAATGAGGGTTAGAGGTGAGAAGGTAGGCTTGGAAGTAACCTTTATGATTTCTCTGAAATTAATGAGCTATGAAATAAAACACACTAAGGGTAAATGGTAAAGTTATATTATGATTACCTCAGTAAGGTTGGTTTCTTCAACATCCGTGAGCTATGAAATAAAATACAATAAACAATGAAGTTACATTACGATTGTTCTACTTCACTAAAGCTAGAGTTCTAAAAGTATTATTAACTTAGTTTTACATTTAGTAGGCACTCACGAATATTGCTGACTGACAGTATAAAAGCCAGGGCATTCGTGTCCAGAGATTGAAAGACTCAACACAATAAAGCTGTCAATTCTCCCCAAACTGATCTAGAAGTTTAATGCCATTCCCATCAAAATTCCAACAACGTTTTCTATAGATATAGACAAACTATTCTAAAACTTATATGGAAAGGTACAAGCTGTAAATCGGTTAAAACAATCTTGACAAAGGAAAATAAATTGACAACAGTCTTTCTGATTTCAAGACATATTATATAGCTACGCTGCGATACTGGTGGAGGGATCAACACATAGACTGATGGAAAAGAACAGAGAACCCAGAAAAAGACTCACACGAATATGCCCAACTGATTTTTGACAAAGGTGCAAAAGTAATACAATGGAAGAAGGATAACCTTTTTTACAAATGCTGCTGGAGTACTGGACATGCAAAGGCAAAAAAAAAGGAAACTTCACATCTTTTACAAAAATTAATTCAAAAATGGACTGCAGGCTTAAATGTAAAATATAAAACTTTTAGAAAGAAGAAATAGGAGAAAATCTTCAGAATCTGGGCTGGGCAAAGACTTCTTAGACTTGACACAAAAAGCAAGATCCTTAAAAGGAAAAATCAAGAAATTGGACCTCATCAAACAAGAAATTTTTGCTCTTTGAAAGATCCTGTGAAGAAGATGAAAAGACAAGCTACACACTGGGAGAAAATATTTGCAAACCAGATATTTGACAAAAGACTAGTATTTAGAATAGACAAAGAACTATCAAAATTCAAGTATTAAAAAAAAAATCCATTTAGAAAATGGGCAAAAGTCCTGAACAAACATTTCACTGAAGTGAACATACAGATCGCAAATAAGAACAGGAGATGTTTGACATCGTTAGTCCTTAGGGAGATGCAAATTAATACCACAATGAGATAACTACACAGCTATCAGAATGACTCAAACAAAAAATAGCGACAACACCCAACGCTGGTGAGGATGCAGAGAAACTGGATCACACATCCATTGCGGGTGGGAAAGTCAAATGGTACAGCCACTCTGGAAAACAGTACGGTAGTTTCTTATAAAACTAAACAGGCAACACCACACGACCCAGCAACTGCACTCCTGGGCATTCATCCGAGAGAAACGAAAACACGTTCACACAAAAACCTGCTTGCAGCTTTATTTATAATAGTCAAAAACTGGAAATAACCCAGATGTCCTTCAATGGGTGAACAGTTAAACTGCGGTCCATTCATACCATGGAATATTACTCAGCAATAAAAAAAAGAAAGAACTATTCATACGTGCAAAAACTTGCGTGGCTTTTAAGGGAATTATGCTGGTTGAATGAAAAAAAAGCCAGTCTCAAATGTCAGACATTGCATGATTCCATTTACATGACATTGTTGAGATGACAAAATTACGGAGATGGAGAACATATTACTGACTGCCAGGGGTTAGAGACTGGGGGTGTGGGGTGGGAAGGAGGTGGTGTGGCTATAAAAGGTCAAAATGAGGGATCCTTATGGTGACAAGTTTGAACTGTTTAGAATCTTGGCTGTGCAGAGGAACATACAGAGGAATAAAAATGTAGAGAACTAAACAGAGGCACGCACACACAGGAGTACAAGGAAAACTGGAAAAATCTGAGTAAGATTGGTGAATTGTAATAATGTCAATTTCCTGTTTGTGATATTGTTCTATAGTTTTGCAAAAAGTTACAATGGGGAAAAGTGGATAAAGGGTACACGGTGTCTCTCTTTTATTTCTTACAACTACATGGGAATCTACAATTATTTCAAAATAAAAAGTGTAATTTAAAAAAGAAGCCAAGCCACAGTACTCCTGTAGCTTGCCCAAGGTTCTACAAGTCTGAGGTAAGGTGAGGAATATGACTACAATTCCCAATTCTCAGGTTCTGAATGGGTTCACTTTAAAACTAGATCTTGCAATTGAAAACCAAAAGCATTAGCAGAAGTTTCAAATTCATGACACATCCAGATACCCTTACCGACCAGCCTATAACCTCAAGGATCAAGTCTGGTTTAGTTCACCATATATTCCCAGTGGCTAGCACACAGTGCCTGACATTTAGCTTGCAATGAATGCTTATTGAACATATAAATGAACAAATTAATCCTCAACTGACTGTCTCCCCCACCATAATCCTCTTCCAATCCACCCAGTAGACACAGAAACAGCATGCAACTAACCTTTTGTTTGGTTTTGCGGAATCTTTTCTTTCGGACATTCTTAAGTGGTGGAGTAACTAAAATAAATTCAACATGGTGAAACACGTATATGACTGACGGTAGCCACATATCTATCTTAATTTGATAAAGAGAAAGGTCATCTTATAAGTCACTGGCTCATGACATGACTCATTCTTTTAAGAGTGTCTGGATGCTTAATGAACCAAACACCTAAGTGTGGTAACAGGTCCCTGGCTCACTAGTAATTAGGATTCAGCAGATAAATGCAGTCTGCTGGAATGAGCAAGGGGCTGGTGACTTACTGCCATGCTTCCAGACATATTTTTTCTCTCCCTCTCTTTCATCTTTCCCGATTACTTTAAGATCAGTAGAGGTAGCTGGTTCTTCCGGAGAAGAGTGGGAATCACCATCAGCAGTGCACACAAGCATCTACATTTAACAGACAAAGAAGTTGACTATGACCATAAATCTTGAGTTAGGAATGAATCATGAGCATTCTTACCACCAGAAATCCTGGAGCATAGAAGCAAGGAGCATGTTACTTGGCATTTCCAGAAAATCAAGTATTACACACATTCATATTCATTCTCTCTCTGTCTCGGCAACACTGTATATGGACTCTGAGTGTTTTTAGCTCGAGTGCTTACCGCTGCAGAGGGAATATGTTGAAAACAGATATATCTTAGAATTTTGACTTAGAAAGGAAACAAGAAATCAACAGTAGAGATGACGAATAAGAACCAAGGTGAACCTCCAGAGTTAACAGCGTGCTGCGTTAGCAGAAAGTTCAGAAGAAGATCCCAGATGTTCATATTTTTCAAATAATGAAAGTCACTATAAACGGCAAAGAGGGGGCTCTAAAAGCTATTTGGATAAAATAAAGTAACGGAAAATTATCAATCAAACGCTAAACCAGAACGTGATATTGTATTCCTGCACAATTGAGCTGGAAATCAGAAACGACAGGCAGCCATTCACCAAGTGGAAAGGAGCGCTGAAAGAAAGATAAAAGAAGGGAGAGAGGGATTTCTCGAAGGATGCAAAAGCTACTAGATTAAGAAAACTCATCCATACCTGGGAAATATCTGCTGTTTTATAAAAGGTGTTTTTATCGTGAGTTTTCAGGCTTCCAATAACGCAAGGCAAATCAACCAGCTTAGCAGTTAGTGAGACAGCTTCCACCTCCACGACTGCATGACGTCCATCAGCTGAAGAGAAGCAGGAAAGATGAAAGTTGACATCTTCCCAATGTACTCTTAAGCCTCCTAGGGTTTGAATAACGAAGACTTATGTGGGATGGACTAGTCTTTCAGTGAAACCTACTCTTCTTCATAATGCTAGAACTGTGTACGCAATTAGTAACTTCCTAGAGAAAAGGCGGCACAGTACACGGGGCTCTTTTTTCCCAGTTTATGCCACTCGATCAAAAGTAGCTAAATTTCTTGGTGATGGCTGTGAACTAAACGTGGATGCAGTAGTAAATGTTTCCTTCTCATCCTGAAAGGCAAATTCCATTCATTCAAATCCATTCATTTTGACACCATTAGAAGCATTCAATTGTGTCACTGTACACGCGTGTTTTCAAAAGGCTGGGTGAGGGAAGGGTTGATCCAAGAATGGTGCTAATAAGCCTCAAGTTACAATCTCTGGTTAGCTTCACAAAGATAAAATTATACACAATAGACATATACTGAATATATACATATATTCATATACTGACAACTCTGAATCTTGCCCAGATGTCTCAAATATGAATATCTTTTGACACAAGAGGATTCAAGTGTAATCTTCTAATATGAAGTGAAAAGAGAAAGATGCAGAACCATGTTTGACATGATCCTTTTTGTGTAAATTAAAATATAGAAAGATTATTTAAATGTTGGTATTATGCATAAAAATTTTGTCCGTAAGGAAAGATGAGGAGAAATGGTTATTACTACTTATCTTTGGCATTGAGGTTGGGGCACTGTGAGGGAGAGCTGCACGTCTCCTTGTGAACTTTTCTGTCTTGTTTGAATTTTCTAACCATGAACTTCATTACCTTTTTTGTAAACGTCTACAAGGGCGACCTGAACAGTGGAATTATGGGTCATTTTTAATTTTCTTCTTTATATATTTCTCTGTATTTCAAAAACCTAATACATATTATTTAAAAGAGAAAGATATGTCACGTTTGTAGACAAAGAGCAGTACATTCGGCATTTCCTGGACAGTCAGAAATCTCAAAGCTGGCATGCAGGAGACAGTCGGCAGTATGCGAATCGCACAGTTGAGCCCCAAGTTCTTCCTTATACACACTATGATAATTACCTCAAGTTGCATAATCTCTACTTCCTTTCCTCCAAAAAGAAGAGATGGAAGTGACTTAAGTCTCTCTTAGAGACCATATTCTGTTCTTTGTCACATCCTTAGTATCTAGTATGGCGCCTGGCATACAGCAATCCCTTAATAAATTACTGTTCAACGTCCGGTGAATGGATATTAACTACTTACGAGATATGTCAATTTTCAGTTTATCCTTCATGGAGACACTTCTGGAACGTAGTAGCTTCCTGACAGTAGAAGCATGTTCCTAAAAAGGAGGTAAATTGAAAAATCAAAAGGATGAATTGTCTACTTGGCAGCTAATACAACAGATATGTCAGAGACAGTCCCCCCTTAGATGAGACCTTAAACCTCCCAAAGGTTAGAAGTGACGCCATATGCCTGAGATACCGTGCACTGTGTAAGTCAAGTTAGGATGAGGCTGTCTGTAAGCTCACTGTCCTCTTTTAGTAGCTATAGATAATGCTTTCTCCTACCTCTCCATTCCTGCCTCTCACTGCTGCCCCTTAGCTGCAGTTGCTAAGGAAAGGCTTGGCTGCAGTTTACTGGGTATATTGACTAACCCTAACTGAAGAAACACCCTTCTGAAGCCCATCCTTAATCTAGCTTTCTTAGACTAAATGACACTTGAATACAGGTATCGACGGGGAAGAGACCCTCATACGATGCTGAGACGAGCTTCCGCAGCCTTGCTTGGTGGTGAATTTGAGGAGACAGTGCTGATCCTTCTCACCGCCCCTTTTGCGGTGACAGAAAGGATTTTAGGAGAGTCTTATCTTGGCTCTCCAGGGAACAGGCTGCTAGTGTCTGTGATAAGTGACTGAATCCATCACTGCCACAGCTGTTTGCCAGGAAATCAACTCACATGATAAGTGGCATATACAGCACAAAGAAATGCCACTGAAAGAGTACACACTAGGACAGGACTGCTTACTAGAAAACGATTCCTGGGAAACAAATGTTCTCAGTTTTTATAGCCTACCTTAAACAGAAATGCTACAGAATCCAAGCAGAACTAATACGGATGTGCTGAAGATATTTGGTCTGAGATGCAAAGGTTTCTTACCGGAGGCAGACGCAATATAAACTGGTTCTCAAGTTCATAAGGAGGTTCATCCTGGCTTCTACTCATCTCTTCTTTAAGTTCATGAAAGCAAAAACAAAACCAACAGTAAGTCACCAAAAACTCCTCTTGCTCCCTCTGCTGACCACTTCAGGTAGTACTGCTTAAATTGTACAAGATCTTGCCTATAACTCTCACCGGAACGATGTGTGTACAGCTCTGAAATACCTTATTTGCCATAACTTGATTATTTCTAAAAGTCACCTCATCTCCCCTTCAATATGTCCAGATTTTCCAAAGTTAATTGGAATTGCATGATAACAAATGAAGTAAGAATTGTTGGGGCTGGCCCCGTGACCGAGTGGTTAAGTTCATGCACGCCACGTCGGTGGCCCAGGGTTTCGCCGGTTCGGGTCCTGGGCGCTGACATGGCACCACTCATCAGGCCATGCTGAGGTGGCGTCCCACATGCCACAACTAGAAGGACCCACAACTAAAAATATACAGCTGTGTACCGGGGGGCTTTTGGGGAGAAAAAGCAAAAATAAAATCTTAAAAAAAAAAAAAAGGAATTGTTATGAAATATGGTTGAGTCTTCTTAATGATATTCTTAGACTCAGGTAAAGGACCACAATTCATCAACACAGCAGTGGCTACCAAAGCAAACCACACACCTCTGCCGCGAAGAGGGCCCACCCAAGGCTGCAGTCAACCAGAACCACTGGCAGAAATGTTCTGACGATGCGAAGGAAGCAAGAGCTTAATTTTCAATATTTCATTCACCAATCCTTAATGGATTGGTAGGACTTAAACCATGGGAGAGCAGGCAGCTTTTCATGACTCTAGAGTCAGCATCAACAACTCTGAGCTACCTCGGGGAAAAGTAAGGAGTCCAGTTCTTAGGGCCGGGCTCTCTGTGTGAGTACATTTAACTTCATGGAATAGATGCATCCCTGAAGGGGTGATAGGAAACAAGGCGAAACCCAATTTGATGTATTCATCACGAACACTAACTGCATGAATTCTATGCGCCAAGCACTAAAAGTGTGTTATGTCTATTATTTCTTTTAATCCTCACAACCACCACTTATTTGAAATAGCTCTAAAAACTGTTGAAAGGAATCCTAAGATGGATCCCTTTATATAAAAAAATACATCTCCTGTAAAGCGAATAATCTCCAAATTAATCTTTATTTTTAATCTCATTTTCCATCTATTTGGAATGTATCTGTAGTGGCTTGCATTTCGGGTTTTAGGGCCCAGACTTCCTCTGAGGAAATTTTTTCTCAAAGGTGGAAAGAAAGCAATATACATATACGAAACCTGACAAAGTTTTCTTATGTTCTAAGGACTATGCTTTACACCAAATTATAAAATCTTCACCTTAAATTAGATTTAAAACTCCAGTTAATGTAGAGCTACTAATACCCTGTAAACCATTAACTGGGCTCTTAGTTTTGAATTTGAATCTCACTGAAAAGCACTGGAACCTTGTTTTTAAGCACATACAAGTGAATCTGAGACCCTACGACGACAAAATCATTCACCAATTATTATTTCACTCCTTTAGTACCATTTCAGAAACTACCAGAAAGCACAAGAGAGGTCAGCAATGGAAAATCAGACACCCAGCAGGAGGGAGAGAGAGAAAAAGAGACATTGATTATCCGTGGTAGTCATTTCTTCTCTTCCTGCTTCATACACACACACACACACACACACGCAAAAACTAAATGTAAACGTAAGGAAAAAAGTTAACTAAAAAAAAAGTAGATAAAAAATCTTGGGACAGGGCACATTGCCTAACAGCAAAGAATAACAAACACTTAAGGTTGGGAGCAGAAATACAGATTACTTGAAGAACTAGCAGCGAAGCATGATTTTATCAGATCAGTAGTAACTTTTAGATTTCTCTGCAGAGCTAAGACTAGGGCATTTTGTTCATTTCAATGCCGTTCTGGCAACTCCTCTCTTATGAAAGAATTAAAGAATTGAAACTATTTCAGAGAAGGTGGACAACCCTAGTTGAAATGAGATTTCATTATTTTTTTAAAATTTGTTACTTGCATTTACCCAATTAACTGGTTGTATCGTATTTATCTTTCTAAAAAGGCTTCCATTTTTTTTTTTCCAGCAAGCACTCTTTGGTACCCAATTAAATTAACAGGACCAGCCGCTCTCCACCGTCCATCCTCAGCTCCATTTCGCTCCAAGGGAATCAGAACCTGAATTAGAGTTACAGCCGCCTGGAGGGCGCCTGACTGCATGCTCCAGGCAGCAGTCACCTGAACTGGCATTTTCTCAACGTCACAGCCATTGGCTGCTGCTGGGAGGCAGTGACCACTCCATCCTTAACCGCGGAGCACTAAGTTTCCAGGGGAAGCGTCCAGCGCCTAGGCTTTGATCCCATTTCCCTGGAAACCCTCCTGCAGAGCCAAGGGCCCCAGCCTTCGTTCCTCGTGGTCCGGGCGGGCTGCGGAGGGGAGCGCGGCGACTGCCCGACGCTGACCGTACCCCGTCCCCGCGCCCCGGGGAACCTTCTGACCGCCCTGCCCCCCGCCCCTCCGGACCCGTGCGGCCCGCGCCGGGACTTGCCTCTCTGCCCCGGGGGTTCCGGCGGGGGCTCGAGCGGGCTCCCGGGCGGCGGCGAGCGGACAGCGCGGCGACAGGTAGCAGGCGCGCGCCGCCTCTCCCGCGTCGCCTCGCCACGCCTCTGCGGCCGGCCAGCGGCCACGAGGCGGCGGCCGGCCAGCCTCGTGCACTGCCCGCCAGGAGGCTGGGGAGGCGCTGAGGCGCGGAGGGCGGCGGGGCGCCACCGCCCGGGGCCCTCGCCAATCAAGGCTTCCAAATGAACTCCCTCTACATAGGGGCGGGCGACCTTCTGGTCGGCCACACGAGGGACACCAGGGCACAGCGTTACCGCTCCTCGAACGCGCGAGGTTGGGCCAATTTGTCCCGTGGCGAGGCGACCTCGCTTGGTGACAAATACACCGCCACAAAAACGCACTAACTAGAAACGGCGCCCAAAGGCCTCTAACATCATCAGTGGCTCCCTTCGCCTCCACAGAATCACTGTTTTCCATCCTTTGGACAGAAACACAAGTCACGGCACTTCTCTCTCCCCGAGCGGGCTCGCCGCACAGACAAACTCGCAGCGGTTCGCTTCTCCCAAAGGAGATGCTAAACTTGCGGACGGACACTCGCAGCCGCCTACCTTTCCCCTCCAGCAGGGTGTCCAGAGCAGCGGCCGCCTGGGCGCCGCCATCGGCATCTGCTGGGGCGCTGGAGTCCGCCGCAGTGTGGGTGTCTTGGTCGCCAGGAGTTTCGGCGCCAAGGTCACCCGCAGCCTCAGCTCCACGGTCCCCAAGAATCTGGGGGTCGTGGGAGCTCAGGACTTCTGATGTTGAAGCTGTTGGTGGTGAATCATTTTCCGACGGAGCGGAAAGCTGTCCCTCAGGGCGCTCCATGGTCTACTGGTAGATCATAAAATGGCTTCCCGTTTAGTCATGTGACCTGGAAGATTCCAGAACTTTCATAAAATGAGGTCAACGATCTCCTTCTTAAAGACACAGGGATAATATTAGAGGCATTAGAGGTACCTGTTAGAGATTACAGTCGTGAAGTCTCTACCGTGTAATGCTTAAACTTAACCGTAAGGAATAAGTATTTTTGGAAGACTAATTATTATCGTACAATCATGTCTTCTGGATACATGATATTTTTTTCATTTCGTAAAGCTAAGTTACCAGAGCTTCAGACCTAGACAAAATCGTTTTGGTCCCTTTTAGAATACATCGGCTGATCTTTATTTTGGCCTTACGTCCGTCGTGCGGCTACATCAAGGGTCGTAATACAAAATAGACCAATGAAATTCATTTTTCATTTGCTGTAGAATATTCTTAAAGGCGTTTATTATATCAAAAAATTCTTTAATAATAACACACGAAAAATTCTATTTTCAGTAACTGAAATAGCTGAGTAACTGTGTGTTTTGAATCATATGCACAATGTGAATTATGTAATTAACTTTTCTCCTGATGGCTGCTAGGAAACTCGGAACCAGTTTTACGACCCACTTTTAACAACTGCGAACCTTACTGGCAAATGTTGATGTTTCTCTTTTCTTAAATAACCACATTCTCTCCCAATTCCCTAATTAGTTTTATGTTGTGCAGTTAGTAACATTGAAAGCTGCTTCAAAACATTTTTAAAAGAGAATCAGATATAAATATTAGATAAATAAAAGTAGTGCTCTGAAATTTGTTATAAACCAATATGACCTCAATTTAAATAAAAAGACGTGTCACAAGGAGCATCCCTATGGGTGGAGGAGGGGAGCATAGTAACTGCTCGCTTGTAAATTAATCATGCAACAAATGTTAATTGAGTCTAATGTGCCAGACTTGATTTGAAATATTTACTAAATGCTTAAAATACAGTAAGAGTTTCATGGAAGGAGGCAAAAATTACCCTTAAGATACAGGTATACACATATGTCATTTTTCCTTTATTGCCAGACTTCCAGCTCCTTAGGGAAGAAGGGAATGAAAAGTGCAAGAAAGCAAAGGGCACGAATTATGGTAGAGGAGAGCTGATGCAAGAAGGAGCACTCATGTACAGATACAAACGTGTCATAGACATACCATTATATTGTCAAACATGTACAGAATATTTTTCTGGGTTCTGTTCTGTAATGTTGCTGTCTTTCTAATAAGTTCTTCTGGATCCCACCCCCTTCAAAACCCTCCCCCCCTTTACCCTCCCCCCCCAACTATGGCTTAAATAAATTTTATCATGCAGTTGCATGTATTCCTTCAACAGAAATTTATTGAATTGTGTGCCAAGAACTGTTCTAAGGTTAATAATAGCTCACATTCACTGAGCACTTACTAGGTGCTAAGCTCTTTGCTAAGTTCTTTGTGTGCATTATCTCATTTAACTCTCACAATTGCTCTGTGAGTTTGGTGCAACTATGATCCTGGTTTTTTCTCAGATGAGTAAACTGAGATTTTTAAAAGGTTAATTAGGGGCCAGCCCGGTGGCACAGCGGTTAAGAGCACACATTCTGCTTCGGGCGGCCCAGGGTTCGCTGGTTCAGCTCCCAGGTTCAGACATGGCACCGCTTGGCAAGCCACGCTGTGGCAGGCATCCCGCATATAAAGTAGAGGAAGATGGGCACAGATGTTAGCTCAGGGCCGGTCTTCCTCAGCAAAAAGAGGAGGATTGGCAGCAGATGTTAGCTCAGGGCTAATCTTCCTAAAAAAAAAATAGGTTAATTAACTTGACTCATGTCACACATCTAGTAAATGGCAGAGCCAATACTTAATTTAAGCCCAGGTTCATTTGACTCTAAATGTGTCTATGTCTACATCCTCAGACCTCCCCTACACAATTAGATGTGCAATTATTCCCCATTCCCCGCTCTTCCTAGCCCCTGCTAACTTCTATTCTACTTTCTTTCTTTGTGAATTTACCTATTCTAGGTGCCTTATATAAGTGGAATCATACAATATTTGTCCTTTGTATCTGGCTTCTTCCACTTAGCATAATGTTCTCAAGGATCACCCAGTTTGTAGCATGTATCAGAACTTCATTTTTTTTTTTTTTTTTTTTGCTGAGGAAGATTTGCCGTGAGCTAACATCTGTTGCCAATCTTCCCCCCCCCCTTTTTTTTTTTATATGAGCCATCGCCACAGCATGGCTACTGACAGACAAGTGGTGGTGTTCCATGCCTGAAAACTGAACCCGGGCTGCCGAAGTGGAGTGTGCTGAACTTAACCACTAGACCATTGGGGATGGCCCAGAACTTCATTCTTTCTAAAGGCTGAATAATATTCTATTGTATGCATACACCACATTTTGTTTATCCATTTATCTGTTAATGGACATTTGGAATGTTTCCACCTTTAGGCTATTGTTAATAATGCTGCTGTGAACATTGGCGTACAAGTATCTGTTTGAGTCCCTGCTTCCAGTTGTTTGGGATGCATACCTAGAAGTGGGATTACTAGATCATATGGTAAATCTATTTTTAACTTTTTGAGGAACCACCAAACTGTTTTCCATAGTGGCTGCACCTTTTTTATATCCCACTGACGTTGCACAGGGTTCCAATTTCCCCCACATCCTCACCAACACATTATTTTCCATTTTTAAAAAATAATAGCTGTCCTAATGGGTGGATAGTGGTATCTCATTGTGTTTTTTTAGCACTTCTATACATCCTCATTTTATGTATTTTTAACAAATCCCTAGAGCATTACAAAAGAGGAATCACATCCATTCCTTGAAATAAGACTCTTGTCAAAGCAGCTTGCACAGAACACTCATGTAACCATCCTTATCACTGTGGTTTTCATCTGCATTTCCCTAATAGCTAGTGATGTTGAGCACCTTTTAGTTGACCATTTGTATATCTTCTTTGGAGAAATCATCATTCAGGTCCTTTGACCCCCAACTTTTTTTTTTTAAAGATTGCCACCTGAGGTAACATCTGTTGCCAATCTTTTTTTTTTTTCTTCTTCTCCCAAAACCCTTCAGTACATAGTTGTATATTCTAGTGGTAGGTCCTTCTGGCTGTACTATGTGGGACACCACCTCAGCATGGCTTGATGAGCGGTGCTAGGTCCATGCCCAAGATCTGAACCAGCAAAACCCTGGGCCACTGAAGTGGAGCAGACAAACTCATCCACTCAACCAGGGGACCAGCTGCCTTTGCCCTTTTTCTTTTTTGAGGAAGATTAGCCCTGAGCTAACATCTGCCATCAATCCTCCTTTTTTTGCTGAGGAAGACTGGCCCTGAGCTAACATCCACACCCATCTTCCTCTACTTTATATGTGGGATGCCTACCCACAGCATGGCTTGCCAAGCGGTGCCATGTCCGCACCTGGGATCTGAACTGGCAAACCCCAGGCTGCCAAAGCAGAATGTGTGAACTTAACCACTGGGCAACCAGGCTGGCCCCTGCCCATTTTTTAAATTGAGCTGGTTGGTTTTTATTTTTTGCCGTCATTGAGTTGTAGGAACTCTTTATATATTCTAGAAACTAACTATCAGATATATGCTTTGAAAATATTTTCTCCCATTCTGTGGGTTGTTTTTTCATAATCTTGATGGTGTCCTTTGATGCACAGAAGTTTTAATTTTGATGGCACCCAATTTATTTTTTTTCTTTTGTTGTCTGTACCTTTGATATCATATCCAAGAAATCGTTACCAAAACCAATATCATGAACATTTCCCCTATGTTTTCTTCTAAGAGTTTTATAGTTTTAGAACCTACATTTAGGTCTTTGATCCATTTTGAGTTAATTTTTGTATGTGATGTAAGGTAAGCGTCCAGCTTCATTATTTTGCATGTGTATATCCTTATCCAGTTTTCCTAAAAACTCTTGTTGAAGAGATTGTCCTTTCCCTTATTGAATGGTCTTGGCACCTTCGTGGAAAATCAGTTGACCATGTATGCAAGGGTTTATTTCTGGGCTTTCTGTTGCATTGGTCTATATGTCTGTCCTTATGCTAATACCACACTGTTTTGATTACTGTAACTTTGTAGTAAGTTTTGAAATCAAAAAGTGTGAGTCCTCCAACTTTTTTTTTTCTTTTTCAAGATTGTTTTGGCTAGTTGGGGTCCTTTGTGATTCTGCATGAAGTTTAGGATGGATTTTTCTATTTCTGCAAAATTGTCATTGGGATTTTGATAGCAATTGCATTGAATCTGTAGATCACTTTGGGTAGTATTTCCATCTTAACAATATTAAGTCTTCTAATCCATAAACATGGAATGTGTTTTTATTGATTTATGTCTTCTTTAATTTCTTTCATGAATGTTTGTAGTTTTCAATGTACAAGTCTTTTTCCTCCTTGGTGAAACTTATTCATGCATACTTTATTCTTTTGATGCTATTGTAAATGGAACTATTTTCTTAAATTTCTTTTTGTGTTATTCATTGTTAGTATACAGAAATGCAACTGATTTTTGTGTGTTGATTTCATATCCTACAATGTTGCTGAGTTTGTTTATGAGCTCTAACAGGGTTTTCTTTTGTGTGTGGAATCTTTACGGTGTTCTACGTATCAGATCATGTCATCTGTGAACAGAGATAAGTTTACTCCTTCCTTTCCAATCTGGATGCCTTTTTTTTTTCCTTACCTATCTGCTCTGGCTTGAATTTCCAATACCATGTCGAATAGTAGTGGTGAAAGCGGGCACCCTTGTCTTGCTCCTGATCTTAGGGGGGAAACTTTCACTCTTTCACCATTCAGTCTGATGATAGCTGTGGGGTTTTCATATATGGACTTTATCATGTTGAAGTTTCCATCTATTCCTAGTTTGTAGAATGTTTTCATCATGAAAAGGTGTTGAGTTTTGTCAAATGCCTTTTCCACAGCAATTGAGATAATCATGTAGTTTTTTCCCCCTTCATTCCATTAACATGTTGCATTATGTCGGTTGATTTTCATATATTGAACTATTCTTATGTTCCAGGAATCACTCCCACTTGGTCA